ATATAAAATATCTGGTGTCGAGCCAGAATATATTTAATATATTTAAAATATCTGGTGTCGAGCCAGAATAAATATTTATTTTACAGTCATTTTCACCTTCGGCGTGCACTTCACAGGAAATTTGAGCAGTGATCGAATAGGCGACAAAGGTGTAGGAATCACGGTTGAACAAGATCGGACGACTGTACCAGAATGTGCGCGAAGAAGCTTTTTTACTTCGAAGCTTACCGCTTGATATGCCCTATGGAATCATGTACATACCTGACGCACAATAGTTCAAATATGAGCAAAATTTATATTGGAATGATCTACTACAGTTTGCGACTACACCTCAACCGTCAACTATCTTTAGCGTAGAATACTCGATGACTCCATCCAACCTGGCCTTGAGCTCTTCCTCACTTAAAGCCTCACAGAATTTAACTGATAACTCTCGTATATGAAGCATGGCAGTATTCGGTATACCCCGCCGTATATCTACAGCCTTTAAAAACAAATCCCCGTCTAATTCTGTCCCAGGCGAGTAGTAAAAACTTTTAAGTCTTGGCATGCGAGCGACAGTATCATAAAAGAATTTTTCGAATACTGGAGCATTGTTAAAGCTGCTGCCGACTGTAAGATCAGTCAAATTCCGAGCATATTCTAGGATGAGACTCGGATCAAAAGGCTCTAATATCGTTATCTCCTTTGGATACATGACTCGAAGCATCGTGAGTTTATGGCCGTGGGCTTTCAATAGGCTGTTGAGGTCAGCTCGTTGAGCATTATCGGATGTGATGGTCAACTCCCTGAGTCGATGGCAATTACTAAGGACGGAACTCGATAATGCTTCTTTATTCCATAAGTGGATGCTTACAAGAGTTGACGAGTTGGCGGTTATAAAGGCGGTGACATCTATCGGTATTTCTGATACTACTAGGCTGTCATATAGTCTGAGTCCAGGTCGTATGGCGTCCAATTGGCACTGCCTCAGAGTACCCGTAAAATCGAATTCCTTTAAAGCTTCAAACGAGCTGATCATCCCCGGAGTGTCTATAAGAATGCAATGGCTTAACTTTACTTTTACCAGTGTTGAGCGACTTGAAGCTAGACTGGCAAGTGAAAACGGGGAGAGACTGGCAGGTTTTATGGAGAAGTCTGACAACTTCATTCGAGATAGCATGGGAGACATATTATACAATAACCATTCCCAAGACCCGTCAATGCGGAGTGCTTTCAGGTTCGGCACATGTTCAGCGACAAGTTCCCAGCTTTGTTTTTCCCAGACCTCACGAGTCTCTATCCTATCACTAGATTTAAATGCCAAGTGAAGTGATGTCAAGGTAGAAGGGAGATTCCAATCCTTAACAGTCACCATTACATGTTCATCCTCGCTGATTGCCAAGCTCTTCAGACCTTGCCAAACATCCATCGGCCTAATCCAGTCTAGCTGAGAAGTATGTATGCCCAAATCACGTATATGGCAAGTGGTCTCTTGTCGATATAGACCAGTTTTACGCTGTCTGACTAATTGCAAGTGCGACTGAAAAGCGGTGTCCATTGCACGGACGCTCAAGTCCCATTGTATACTATAAAGCTGACTACATCCCATTACATTAAATGCTTTGCATACTAGACCCATATTGATGAGACTTTTGAGTGCGATACGGAGTTCTGTTGGGGATCTTGTCGTTTGATGGTGTTTGATCCTGTCGAAGATGATGAGGAGGAGCTCGACAGGCAGCCTGATAGCATTGTCCTTGTATGGTACATCGTAGAATTCCATGACTTTGATACTAGAGATAGAGTCAATGATGTCTGGTCAGATAACTGCAGTTTGCAATTTCTAATTGGAAAGATCTCATGAGCATTGTGTGCTTACCTGTCAATGCAAACACACTAATTACGAACGGTTTCAGCAACTGTAAACCATCAACTATAAGCTGTGAGATGTATTTGACTTCCCAAGCTTCAACAACACTAGAAATTCAGGAAATTTCAAACCTTTAAGCGTGAGCTTTATAGACCCAAGACTCCTTTCCAAGGCAGACAATCAGTAATTTTGCGCGTTATGACACGCGTTCAAAGAAGTCCCCTGAATGTCTGAACCATCTGTAGCTTGTTTGACTGGAACTCGCTCGCAGCTGCTTTTGAACGATACAACATTTGACTGATTTAACAGCGAATCAAAGCATTCTGTTACACAGTGACTTTGCTCTTGCTAGACATAAACCACATCGACTCACAAGCTTAAAGCTTGAGAAAACCAGAAACTCCTACATTCATTGTGTAATCTGCGGCACTGACAGACATTTTGAGTTTTGATACAGTGGCCGCCTTGTTGCTACGTACGCTATATAATTACCAACAATCTTCGGTTTCCAGTCTACTGTCTTCAGCCCAAACCAATTATACTCGATGAATCCATCCAGCTTCGATTCAAGCTCTTCATCTCTCACAGGTTGCTGGAATTTGACTGATATATCTAACATATGGATTATACGAGCTTTCGGTTTACTACACGTCGTATATCTACTGTTTTGAGAAACATTTCCCCATCTAATGCTTCAGTAGGAGTGTGGTCTAACTCTACAAGCTTCTCCAAGTGAGCGACCGCGTTATGGAAGAACTCATTATATACTAGTACTACAGAATGGCCTCTGCCGAAACCGGTCAAAAGGTAACGTAGATTCGGAGCTTTCTCTGGAATGGGAGTCAGGTCAAACGGCGGCAAGGTTACTTAACGTCTTCGAATATTACGGATAAAGACTTGAGGCCCCACCTCGCAAAAACTTGAGCTGCGACGACTGCCCGGTCAGAGGACTCTACAGAAAGAGACGGGATCCTCAAGAAGGGTATCGTGAGCACGAGACGAGACGTCCCAAAGTCAGCCTTAAAACCGCTGACTTTGACCATCGTGCCTGCTGAATAAAGCCGTTCATAATATGTTTGGTGCGCTGAAATTTGAATGATTGGAAGTAATGGCAATGACAAATCATTTAAATTGAGCACCTCCTCATGGCAAGGATACTAGCGCTTGCACCGTAACAATGTCTAAGCATCAACTACGGGAGTCCCTGCCACAGAACAAGGAAGCTCTCAAATCCAACCCATGCAGTTGCCAGCTGCACCTGTCCCGGTGTCTGCCTCCACTGTAAAACAACCACCACCATTACAAGCCATTACCACCACACCACCATTGTAACCGCCCAAATTCGAATTGGTTGTTGGCTCAAACAGTACCCCGATCAAGTTGCTCATATCTTTGCACTTGAGAGAAATCCAACGTAGATAATGCGGCCATAGCTAGTCCTAAGCCTGGTCGACATGTCACATTGCAAGTCGAAACACTGAAGGGCCTACGTTGGCATTCATATTAGTAGCGTGTGACGCTGTTGTAAATAGCATGTTGGTCAATACAGTATTCAGATTAAGCTCTACCCTGAAGAAATTTAATGCATGCGACAAACATTGATGATCAGACGGATACGTAAAGGCACGTATTATCAGTCTTTATTAAGTCGTCAATATCCCAAAGGGAACTATTCTTCCTTCAAACCATCCGCTTTAAAAATCTTCAAGGTCCCGAATTTCCACAAACCATCTGTGCCGGGCAGTAAGGAGAAGCGTGATCTCCATATCCGTAAATTGAGTAGCCAGGTTGGTATATAGCGTCAAGAGACGTGCCACCAATAACAGGAAGAGCGGTTCTGAAGTAGCATTTGTTTGCAGCTGGGTTTGCGGTATAGGTACATACTGCGATAGTGGATGCCGTGCTGCTAGTTAACAGATCGTTTCCTTGCGTATCGACAAGTGGACAACTGTAAGAGGATGCGCATGAGCCTTGGTCCTAATGACATCGGGGTTTGCAGTTAGTCCAGGTTGATGGCGTGGTTTGACGAAGGCAGAGAGAGGGTCTTACGCTGGCACATGTAAGACTTTGAGGACCTGAGGAAAACACATAATTTTATGAGTCTGCAATCATCGCGGAATCTTGAAATTCAAGTGCTTACACTGTGCGGCGTTGCTCTCATACCAATAGAGAACATGTCCGACATGACCAGATGTAATGTCATAGGTGCAAGTTTGCACACCCGTGCCTACACGCCATCCACAAGCGAGCTGGTTTGGGAAGACCCCTCCAACGGTGACTGATGCTGCTGCAGCTCGGTTACCTAGAAGAAGAAGAAGAAATTAAGAAAACCAAAAACAAAATTGTTGTCGATGAAGACACAACATTGCAGCAAATGCTGCTCCTTCTCACCATCATTATCAGTTGTAGGACAAAAAAGTGCTGATGGTGCAGCACATGCTGGTATTGCGCAGTTCAAGGCGATAGAATCTAACTATAAAGCGTTTTCCAAAACAGAGTGTTTTTCAGTACTGTTGTTTCCCATTCTACACACGCGATCCAACTCACCACACAAGTATCTCCACATTGCGTAAAGGTCTCTGTAGTTTGACTCGAAGTAGTTGCATTCATGAAATCGCAGGTAATTGACCCATTGCCGAAAACACCTGGAGCGACGAGGTCGCCATAGTCGTTCTGAGCAGGACAGACACATGCTGCACTAAAACGATCAAGGGCGAATGGAGTATGATGTTAGTAAAGGCGCACAACAACATCATTATATTGATTTTCGATTTCACTATATCACTCACGCTGGAGCAGGCGATGCAGCGGGGGATGGCGCAGGAGAAGCAACCGCAGACGCAACAGGAGAAGCAGCTACGGATGCAACGGGAGAAGGAGCCACAGCAGCAGAGGCACCTGGAGATGCTGCAGCAGCGGGTGAAGGTAAAACGACTACGGCAGGAGATGCCGCGATTGGTGCAGAGCTGGGTTGTGCAGACGAGGAACAAGTGCCAAATCCAGATTGACAAGTGAGGGGATCACAGTGTGCGCTTGTCGAGCCACACCAGCCGTACTATAGAAGGAAGATCGTTTAGAAGAAGGTGATTTACGTCAATTAACTGTTGATAATTATTAGGTTTTACCTATTAATAAGTGTTGGCAAGTGTCAGTGAGAAAAAAATTGGAATTCGTTTGGGCCAGTTCTTGCCTGTGAACAGCAAAGACCTCCAGTACACGAGATTCCAAAGCTCGTTCCGCAACGTCCAGTAGTGTCGACAGATCCAGAGCCGCAGCTTCCAAAGTTGGATTGGCAACCAGTACCACAGTACTCGGGAGTGGTGCCACAGAATCCGTACTAGCAGACAAAACATATGCAAAAGTGAGCAAACAACACTTTAATAATACTCGACGCGATTCCGCAAAATCATAACATACCTGTGAGCAGCAACCACTATTAGGACAAGCCCCCTTCCCAGCACCACAAGCCCCATCACCCGAACTTGGTCCCGAAGGAGCACTATTCGTAGCAACACAGAACACATCCCCAGGATAAATATATCCCACATCACAATTCAATGCAGTGCCCGCAGAATTCAATGCTTCCAACACATGATAGCCTGCCAACCCGTTACCATTCGCGATAGCCCAGCACGAATCACCGTCTACGACAGTGTACGTGCTCGTGCATCCTGAAATAGGGTCTGCGCTGGCTGTTTGAAGGTACAGCGCTGCCACCAATGTCGCCTGGGGTAAACGGAGGGTGTTTAAACGGGTGGTTGAGAAGCGTGGAAGTTTAAATTTTCGTTTCGAAGGGAAGAGGGGTGTGTAGGGCACTTACGAGTTGTACAGCCTTGTAAGCCATGTTTCCCACTGCGTGATCGTTTATTATGCGTGAGGAATTTTACAGTGGGATGGTTTGAAGGTCGTATGTGTTTTGTTTTCATGGCTTGGGTCAACTCTTTTTTTGTGGCTTCTTCGAGGCAGTGTGATGTTAAACATGACAACCCGAAATATGCCGAGGGTGGCAACTGAGATAAACGTGAAGCTGAAGTATGTATGACCTTGAAGTATGTATGACCCGCCACCGTCGTGTAAGGTAAGATGTTATTGACCAAGTTATTTGATATTTGGATTACAGTCCCTTAAGGGGTCGAACTCTATATTACAACCAGTTCGGCAGGTAATCAACAAACAACAAATAATGGAGTGGTTGAGGCGAATCGGCCTACTTTGAAGTTTGAAGAAATCAAATTTGTGAGTAGTTGTGTTGCCAAAACGGAAACGAGAAGATTCGTGGAAACTGTGTTGTCTGTCAAGACTTTGGATAAGACAGAGGATCGGGAGAGAGACGCAGCCAGATTCTTGTCGTTCACGGATGAATGTTCATCTACTTGAAACTTGTCCACTACCAAGCGATGCGGCATCCAACACCGTCAAAGTTCATCCCATTTAGTTGACTCCAGGACCAAGAGTCAAGTACTCGGTATGACGATATGAAGAAGGCCTTTCCTGGTTATACAAAGACCGGGGTGAACCGCTTCTTGATACTCTTCTAAGCTCTTCGTGCATGACGTGGCACTCTATCTTGCCAGAGCGTAACTCAAGCTCGATTCGGCACCGTATAGATGAATACAGGAAATCCTGTTGAGAGTCTTGCATATCTTGATCCCAACTCACGGTATATTGGGTTGCGATGCGCCTTCCGCCCTCATCCCAATGAATGGTTTGTGATGATAGTTGAAGATTGTTATCACGAAGAGTACATCATCGGATAGCATCATAGCTTCTTCCATGTACGATACTACGTACGAATCCATACTTTAAGCGTAGTTGACACCTTCCAAAGACCTGAAATGTTGATTTGCGACATTCGAGGACCAAGATTTCAGCAGAGCTCTGAAACCTAACTCCAATACAAAGAGAGACCGCATTGATAAGGTCCAAACACTAGTACTTGACGGCCAAACTGCCTGAAAATGCTCAAGATCTTCGCAATGTAATGCGTGGCTGTTTGAAGGTTGGAATTTGTCGACGTGATTGAGAGTATCAGAGTGAATATAGCGAGGGAAGACAGGAATAGCGTTTTGATCATAAAATATTGTAGAAATCCATTCCTGCCCGAATAACGCGTCGGCGTCCTCCTAATCCTCGACAATAATCTGGCATCTCGATTCACAATCAAATTATCAACTTCCAACAGAAACTACAACGCGATGGCAGCTCAACTAGGCCACTTCAAGCTCCCCAAAGTCAGCAATGAGCCCATGGTACGTCTCTCTCCATCATTACTTCCATTATTCCAAGTTGCTTCTTTGACACAGCAAATTAAATTTCTTTCAAATATTCTCGCTAGCTCAATTTCGCACCTGGAAGTGCAGAACGAAAGGCTCTCCAGCAAGCTCTGGCTGACATACGATCGTCATTGGAGGAACACGGGCCATTCCAAGTGCCTTGTGTCGTTAATGGCTTACATGTAAGAGAAATCAAATGACATTTGGAACTGCCCACCAAGAAGGGACACTTACACGGCATTGCGCCTTAGATCAAGACAGATTCAACTCAACAGCAACTCGTGCCTTTCGAGCACAAGACGCCGCTATGTACATACCATGAAGCGGATGCTGCTACAATCGATCAGGTAAAAACTACATCCGATTGGTTGATGTGCAGGACGAGATTGTTGACTTCGTTTTTGCTCTCGACAATCTTAGGCAATCAAAACAGCACTCGCAGCAAAACCAAAATGGGAGGCTATGCCATTCAACGATCGAGCAGCCATCTTCCTGAAAGCCGCAGACTTGCTCTCTACAAAATACAGGTTCAAGGTACTAGCTGCCACCATGTTTGGACAAGGAAAAAATGCGTGGCAGGCTGAAATCGATGGGGCTGCTGAACTCATTGATTTCTGGAGGTTCAATTGTATTTATGCTGCTGGTGAGCTGCTGTGACAGAACAAAGTCGATTATACCGATGTATTATATGTTTTTTTGCTTACTCACAGGATCCCACTAGATATTTACGCACAACAACCAAGCGAGAACTCTGCAAGAACATGGAATCGAGTCGAGTATCGAGGTTTGGAAGGTTTCATTCTGGCTTTCTCGCCATTCAACTTTACTGCTATTGGTGGGAACTTGGCTAGTGCTCCTGCTATCATGGGTATGTGGGCACAAACAGTAGCAAAATAGCGCAAAAAGGAACCTTGTTTGACCGATCGTACATAGGAAACGTGGTGTTGTGGAAACCATCTCCTATGGCCGTCTACTCAAACTATCTCGTCTTTGAAATATTGAGAGAAGCTGGTTTACCTGATGGTGTCATTCAATTCTTACCTGGTGATGCAGCTGCTATAGCCGATGTGAGCATTCTTAAGAGTATTACTATGTTTTTTCTGCCTGTCAATTGTCAAGGGTTTTCTTCTCACCTTCCATTTCCTTTGTATCATAGCAAACAATCCAACATCCATCCTTTGCTGGTCTACACTTCACCGGCTCAACAATAATCTTCAAATACCTGTGGCAAAAGATATCAAACCACTTGAACGTCTACAAATCATATCCACGAATAGTCGGTGAAACTGGTGGTAAAAACATGCACTTTGTGCATAAGAGTGCTGATGTTTCTTCTGCAGCTTTGAATTCGGTTCGATCGGCGTTTGAATATGCAGGACAGAAATGTTCCGCTTGTTCAAGGTATGGTGTTTATTTGTGTGGAATACCTGATGTTGCCAGATGTTAATGAACTTGCTTGAATCTTTTTTTCGCTGACAGGGCATACGTACCAGACTCCATCTGGACGGAATTCTCTGACATCCTTGTCTCTGAAACCAAAAAATTCAGACAAGGACCACCAGAAGATTTCACAAACCTGGTTGGACCAGTCATCAACAAGGCATCATTTGACAAGATTAAAAAGTACCTTGATGGCGTCGCTTCTGATTCTGAAAGCAAGATATTGGTTGGAGGCATATGTAAGTTTAGTGCCTTCGTTCTGATGAAGGATTCCTGTTTTTTGCTGACTCCCATTGATTCTCTGATAGGCGATGACAGCAAAGGCTACTTTATCCAACCAACAGTCATCGTCACAACCAATCCTCATTCTGCTACCATGGTCGAAGAACTATTTGGACCCGTGTTGACTGTATATGTGTATCCTGCTGACAAGTATGAAGAGACTGTAAGTCATAATAGTTCAATACAGCCGTCTTTTTGTGCATTTCAGTTAACACAGTTTTTACGTTAGTTGGAATTGGCAGACTCGTCATCTTCATACGCACTGACGGCGGCTCTATTCGCCAAAGATCGAGAGGCAGTGATTGTTGGTGCTGAGAAATTACGACATGCTGCTGGAAACTTTTATATCAATGACAAGTCGACAGGGGCTGTTGTTGGTATGTTGTGACGTGGATGTGACATCAGTCAATGAGGCAATGGGAGCTTCGTTTTTTTTTGACATTTTTTTCTGGATACGTACAGGTCAGCAGCCATTTGGAGGTGGTCGGCAATCCGGAACGAATGATAAAGCTGGTTCTTCATTGTAAGCTTGTCTTATTTGAGACTCATATTTTTGCTAACTGGAACAAAAAAAACTTATAATAGGAATTTATTACGATGGGTATCTGCTCGTGCCATCAAGGAAACATTTACACCACTTACTGCTGTTGGATACCCCTCAAATGACGCCTAGGAAACACAAAAAATAATTCTGAATTCTTTTCCATGTTGTTTTGTACACACGTGAAAAACTCAAATCAATAGAGAGAGCATATCTGTAGTCAACTATCTCGTTTTGATCTTTGAAATTTGAAGGGCGCTGCTTTACCTCATGGTGTTATTCCAAACTTGGATGGTGACGAAGCTGGTATGGCCGATGTTTGCATCTTGGATGAGTTGCTGGCCTCTTTTTTGCTTGCTTCGAAAGCTGACTCATCTCTCATTTCCTTTTTCATTAGAAAAAAATCTCAAGTCCATCCTCTGCTGGTCTGTGCTTTCCCCGGCTCACTGATCTTCAAACGATTGTGGCAAGTGATATCAAGCGACTTGAAATGTCTACAACTCGGTGGAATTGGTGCAAGAAGTTATCCAGTTTGCTCATAAGAGTGCTAATGTCGCTTGAATTGCCTTGCATTCTGTTTGATGGGCTTTTGACCATGCTGAACGGGATTGTTGTGCTAGTCCAAATAGTGTTGTAAGATTTCGTGTGTTGGACGACCCACATACCCGTATCGCTTCTTGTTGTATGTTGTGATTTTTATTTGGAAGGAATTCTTTGGCGTCTGCAACCAAAAAAAATCCACAAAAGGACACTAGATGATTGCACAAATATTGTTGAAGCGGGTATCTACAAGGATTCATTCTTCATCCGGCAAGATATGGTGGATTGATGGTGTCACGTCTGATTTGGAAGGCAGGATATTGGGGTGGATGCATTTATGAATCCTGTGCCATTAGGCACTCTTGGTTGTCAGTCGTTTTGGCTGATGTCTCGTTTGCCAAACTGATAGGCTATGATAAGAAAAGCTACTTGATTCAGCTCACTGTCATTTCTATAGCCAATCGTCATTTCTGCTACCATGGGTGAAGCACTTTTTGGGTACTTCTTGATTGATACTGTATCCTCCTGACTAGGATGAAGAGACTGTAAATTACTGAGCGGCTTTACTTGGTGGTTCGCTTTACCTTTGGGTTTGACCTTCCGTCTATCTAGTGGAGTTGGCAGACTCGTCAGCTTCATATGCTCTAACAGCCGCTCTAAACTACAAAGAAGATTGATGAGCAGTGATTATTGGTGCTGGAAACATTTCCGACAATGATTACAGTGTACAGCTGCTGATGTTGGTATGTTGTGACGTGGTTGCATTTCAGTTAACTCTGTTTTTACCAAAGTTGAAATTGGCAGACTCATCATCTTCATACGCTCTAACAGTGGCTCTAAACTCCAAAGATTGATGAGCAGTGGTTATTGGTGTTGTTGGTACGACATGCAGCTGGGAACTTTTATGTAAATGACAAGTCGACCGGAGCTGTTGTTTGTACGTTCTGACGTGTTTGTAACCTTCTTGTCAATCAGGCATCGTGGACGTCGTTTTTTCTTCAACACTTTTTTTGATGTGAGCAGGTCAACCACCATTTCTATTAAATTTATTGCTATAAACAAATACAGTTGTTCTATTGCTATACACCAAAATAGTGTAGAGTCAGAATATATACATAACATACACAAGACAGACAAGATTGATTCTTACCCTACGATACGTTTTACAGTGAAAACAAGTTTCCGCGTCATGTTGAGAAGCCTCATGAGTGAAGTACTGGTTCAAATCGGGGGGATTGATCCCAAAAAACGTGCTTGTTTGATTTCCGTTCAAACACGTCATAGCATTAGTGAGTAACCCACAGACGAGGTAGTACTGCCCCACAGGCTGGAGCAGCAGGTTAAGATTCTTCTCGAAATCCAAGAATGCCCATCGAGACATGATCATCCCAAACCCGCACTCAACTGCAATTCGAACCGTTGACATCATTTTATTGAATCGGATGTGAGCTGGATCGTGAGGAGCCTTGAAGGATCGGACGATATAATCAGATACCTAGAAAACGCAAGTAAGAATTCAGAGGTACTGGGGTCCGTTCCACGAAATACAATACCGGATAAGCTGGATCACCATATAACACAAACTGCCTTCCATCCCCAAACTGCAAGCTCTCCTCCAGTATATCCAATAGACCCGTCACGTGTAGCACCCATGCGTCGTGATCTTTACCAAGATATGGGCCATCGAGATGTAAGATAAGTCCATCTGGAGCAACAACGCTTTGAAATTTCAAAGCGTGTACCCGTTTCCACCCATTGTACACCATCTCCTGGTTGCTAATAGGTCTGGCAATATTACGCATAGTTCCATCAATAAAGCCGAAACATCTACAGAGCTGACAGTGGGTTGTTGATTGACACAAGAGGTGTTTTCGCCTACCCTTGAAGTTTGCCACCCTTGTTCCAAATAGCTTCACTATAAGACTGCAGTACATCCGAGGTCAGACGATGTCGGTCCCAGCGAAGCAGATTGTGCCAGCGTTCGTGTATAAACTGAGAGACATGGTTTGCAAATCTGGAGATGACAGACTGCTCGCGACCAAAGAACCGGACTAGATCCACGAGGCGACAGGGATACACCATTCGTTTCAAAAATATAGCTAGTGCGTCGACTGATGACAGGCGTAGTCGATTATCGGTGATCAAAGTTGTTGGCATCCTCAAAGCTTCTACTAGAGCCTCAATTTGGAGAAGAGAGAAACTAGAACATAATGCGTTTTAATATTATTGGCGGAATGAGCCTGTTACGGTACGTGTTATAAGTCTCTCTTACCGGAAATGCTTCATGCAATCACTGTCCGACAAATTACTCAAAATGAGACGTGAATCTGGCGCTTCTACTCGTCTAGAACTCAAAGATCCCATTAAAACAGCCATAAAAAGCGCAGGACCGTCGTCGTCTTCGTCCTCGTCCTGCCAAAATCCTTCATAATACCCTGTTTTGGAAACAATTTCAGCAAAACATGACGAGGACCTGTCATTGAGACTTACCAAGTGCAAAATATGGATCCATTTTAATGACGGCAAATGCGTATTTGTCTATCTAGCCTTTTGCAACTGCACCTTGTTAATGTATCTCGTGAAATTCGAGCAAGTCTTACACACAAATTATAGAGACAACATCTAGCGCAAGCACATTTTCACACAACTATCTGCTCGAAAGCGCCGTACTCTTCGCGCCATTCTACACGAACATTTCGCTAAATGCGCAAACACTCCATTGTTTTGTACAATCGAAAAACATCAAGTCAGGAGGGGCGACAGCATATGTGGTTTTTGGTGACCAGAACTCCTTCTCAGCGATTTAAGCATTCATAGGATATCCGATGTTGTGATCAGGGTTTTTAAATTTGAGGGTCTTGCTTGTGATTCATCATTTGAGAACAACCACAAAATATGCAAAAGACGACAATGGACGAAGTTATGATGCATTCACCAGTCAGCCCGACGAAAGCCAGCAATATTAACGAATTACCTATCGACCTCTTCGAACATATCCTATCGTTTTTAGCAAGTGATACGAGAAATTTGTTACCAAGTACGCAGATGAACAATGTGGCTTCTTTTTACTCATTTCTCATGCTTTTCATACCATGAACGAATAAGATTTCAATTTATTTAACACCTGTTTTCTCCTTGTAGTACTGACAGTCTCAAAATCATGGCACTGTGTCTCCCTCCCGATATTTACCAAATCCCTCCGTTTCGTGTCCGTCAGACAGCGTCAACGCTTCCAAACCCTCCTAAAACCACCTCTCCAGCCTGAAAACCCGTCTACTCCAACAACCACAAGCAACGATGACTCGGAATGGGTTGTACGTGCTCGTCGTGGATCGTCTGAATCTCTCCAGACAAACAGCAATGGAAATAGCGTATTTGAGCCCTTGAGTATCCATACGACGCATCTCGATATGGGATTGAACCCACTGCCAAAAAAATTCACGTCGGATGTGGATGTCGCTTTGCCAAGTCCGAGTCCGGTTGTTACGAGTCCTGAGGGACTAAGTGAGAGAAGTTATGGAAAAAGTTGGGAGAGTCGGTTTATTAGTCCGTTTTTGGATTTGGTGTCTGAGAGGTGTCGGAATTTGCAAGGTGACTTGTGGTGTTGTTGACCAAATGCCCAAAAACATTCATCCTCACCAACAAATTCTTCAAACATAGAACTCAATCTCGGAGGAACAGTCTTTTATGATCAAGCAATCTCTGAAGTCCTCCGCTCATGCCCCAACCTGCAAAAACTCGAACTAGGATGCTCATCCATAAAACAAGCGGGCTTGCTCTCCATAACTGAATGCGGCAAGAACCTGAGATACTTGGGTTTGACGGGCCTTTTCCGATTCAGGAGATTACATCAAGATGTGTTTGTCGAGATTGTTGAAGGTTGTGTGAATCTGAGATGTGTTGTTATAAGAGAGTGTCCTGATTTGGATGCTGAGGTTGTTGCGAGGGTGCAGAAGGAGAGGCCGTGGTTGAGGATTGTTACATGAGAAGGATGGAGGTTGGGCTAGTGGGGGGTTTCCTTTGGATGGAACTTGTGATTAATATTTCATTAATAAGATTACAAAGGGGCTGTATGCCTTAAATACCAAAACGATGGTTTAAATTACAGCTACATTGCTTGTCCATTCATTGCTGCTGTTGTTGCTGGAAGAAGAAGGCATGTTGAGCCGCTCTATGCGCTCGTATCCTCCTCGAAGGATTGTACTCTAGCATATCCTACATCGACCAAAAAGAACTGTCAGAGATGGCGGAAATAATCCGATGGACGAATTGTGCATTTGTCTACCTTTAACAACCAGACACCAGCAGGCTCCAACCCAGTAACATACTTGTCCAATGTTTGCTCAGGTGATCGATTCTGTGCAGGAAGTGGTTGATTGAGTTCGAATGGGAAATCGTCAGCTGTTGGCGATCCGAGCTTTCTAAACAGTTCGTGGAGGGTTGCTTGTTCGCTATCAGCTAGGTGACATTTGGATTTTAGGTGAGCAAAAAAAGGTAGGGATTTTCGATGAATGAGCAAATCCAGGCATTACCCCAGAACAATGGTTGTCCTCGAACCATTTCAGCAAAGATACATCCAATAGACCATACGTCCACAGCCATGGAGTATTCACGTTGTCCTAGTAATAGTTCTGGTGCTCTGTATAGTACCGTTACGACCTAAGAGAAATGAAATTGCATTAGAATATCCTTCCTGAGTAATTGATTTTTTGCCTCTCACCTCTGGCGAGTATGCCTTGCCAGGAATAGAATAGCATCTCGATAACCCGAAATCTGCAATCTTTAGTGTCTTGTCACTCGTCACTAGCAGATTGCCTATAAGAGTTGACCGGTGGTGTTGGCAACGTTTGCTTTCACAGTGAGTCAACACACGTATCATTTACTAGGTTTCAGATCTCGATGCAGAGTCCTCCGACCATGGCAATGTGCTATTCCATCCAATAATTGTTTCAGGAAATGCTGTATGTGATATCGGTTAGTTTTAAACCTTGTAAGCTCTGCATCATCTAACAAAGCAAACCTTGACATCCGACTGCGGTAACCCAGCACTCTCAGTCCGAAACGTTTTAATGTACTGATTTAAATCCGTATCAGCATATTCTAGCACCATGTACACGAATGGCTTCTCATTAAAGGTTTGTACGTCCAGCACTCTGAAACCAAAGCAAATGTCATTTAAAATGTGGACAGCGCAACTTGATCCATGACAGATCTATATAGATCCGTTCCTTACTTGACAATATTAATATGATTTAAACCTTTCAATAATGCTACTTCGCGTACAGTTGTAGCAGAAACACCACCACGTTCGAATGCAGTTTTCTTGACTGCAACAGTGGTGGATTCACGACGGTCTCGGGCCTTGTAGACTTTGCCGTAGACTCCTTGCCCTAGCTTCTCGAGCTTTTCGTAGCTCATCCATATATTTGCGGTTGACGATGGGGCTCCCAACATGATTTACTATGGTCGATAATATGATTTTGGTGTGTGGATGCTTTGTGACAAGTGAGAGCTTGGACGCTTGGTAGGTAATAGAAGACCTGGTCGAAGACGATTACCTTATGAATTAGATTTTACTTAGGCACGTAATGCGGACGTGATTTGGTATGATACATAAGGCTGTAAGTTCCTTCGGACACACAAAAGCCTTCCGATCTTGTTCAACCGTGATCCTACGACCCCAGATATCAGCAAGTTATATGGGGGGTTGCACTGTGATATAACTCATTATCCGGGCGCCTCGCCTTTGATTTCTCACTATCCGGGCGTCAACTTGTCACAACATCACTTTTTCGAATGTCGCGTCTCTATGACATCTTCGGTTGATTCAAAGCGGAAAGATGTACTGGTAAAGAAGGCAATTCGACGCGCTCATTGCATATATTACCATCTATTAGAACATTAATCATGACATGCACTGACTTTACTACCTCAATTTGCTATCTTCAATTCTCAGTTTGTGTGTGCGCCAAAATCCATAGTCCTCAACTTTGAAAGTCAAGTTCTGTATTAAGTGGCATTGAGTAGCTCGTAGATTCAAAGTTTTGAAGGAGATTATTGTCGAGAGACTTTGAGTTGCTTTGTATCGACAGGTACGTGCCTACCTGTCCGCATCACATTTTCAAACAAACGGACCTCCATTTCCATCCGTACAGACTTTATACGCCGAAGAGGAGTAACATCATGGAACTATACGAAGTAAAATTCAAGGAAGCTGCTCTCAGGATACCCGATGAACTACTCCTCATGGTGTTTGAGTGCAAAATTCAAAAAAGCTGGTCTCAGGATACCCGATGAACTCCTCATCGTGTTTGAGTGAATCAACAATCTATTGGTGCGCGGGACTTTTGAGCGAGGATGGTTTAGGAACATGGCTCTTGTCTGCAAGGCCTTCAATAGGATGGCATGTCTTCACCTTTATGGTGGCCCGATTCGCTCGGTCAATGGAACAGAACGGGCAGCATTCGTAACCAGTCTCACACATATAAGAGATGCTCGAACAGACATCTACCGACAGAGGCCTCTCTGCCTTGTAAAAGACCTAAGAATTAGATCGGATTTAATTGCCTTGCTAGGAAGGCCAGATTGTTTTAGCTCTCTGGCCTACTTGTCTATAGACATTGAACAGAATGTCAATGGACTGATCCCAGTCCAGAATTGAGGTCTACCACCGACTATTATAAAACTCAGATTATGCTTCCGGGATGTCGATGGCCTGGACGATCGTGCGATTGTAGAAGCACATAGGTGCGAACTTCTCGCTGATCAACTGTTAAATCTAAAGCAGTTTCTACTCGTCGCACCGTGGCCATATCTGTGGGATAGAATGGCGCAAATGCTCTCTAAAAGTCCAGTTCCAGTAAACGACGTCTTCTTCCATGATGCTGTCGCCACTATGGCAAGGCTCAAACAATTGAAGTACTCTGCCGAAACGGAACTGGATGGTGCCATGTTGATGAAGGCTGTTGAATCATGAGGTGCTTTACCGAATACTCCGGTATCACATATTCCAATCATTACAATAAGGCTCAACCTAGAGGGATATGGGTCAGCTTACAGCTATCTGAGGTCAACGAAGGTCATTACTTTTAATAGACTTCGCTACAGTTTTCAGGTGAAGACGATATGATGAAGGACGTAAAAGGTCGCTGAGTTGAAAAGGGTATGAAGATGGGTGAATCGCTTAAATATGTAAAAAAAAAATGCACGAAACGCTTCTATAATGTTGCTATAACATGCTCCCAAAATATAAAATATTTCATTCACATTTGCCATGATATGAAGAATCTGAAAATCAGCGCACACTCTCGATCAAGTCCATTATAAGCTTCATAGACGCAAACACGAAGCAACGGCTCCCAGCCCTTCATTCACTTATTTTCGGAGGTCCGAAATTAATTTACCGAAGTTTCCTAGTAACTGTCGAGTTGATGCCAAGGCTAAAACACACTCGACAGCTGCTTTTCACGGTTTTAAGGCTCGACAGCAAAGTTTCTGAAAAATAGCGACTCGACACAGCTATAGTATTGATTTTAATCACTGCAACAGCAGCGTGTAACAGGAAGTATACAAGGCGGATGCCACTGATCCCACCAAATCCAGGTCGGATGCTGCTAATGTGATGACAGTAAGTCGGACGCTGCTAAGGGCCCTACGTCAAAGTCGGATGCTGTTAAGGGCAGTTCATAGAGTGTTGAGAAGTCAAACGCTGCCGAATGGATGGCCTGTAGCTGGTCATTTTTTTCTCGTTAAGGAAGATGGCTAAGGCTAAAACGTTGAACATGACCAATAAAAGCGCCACTTCATTTTCAACAATCCACCAACTCAGGAGCGTTCATCAGTCTTTACACTGGAAGGAAAACCAAATCGCTGCCTTTGCAAAAGCATGATGTTTTGGTTGTGGACTACAGAAGCCGAAACGGTTGAACATTGGGCGTTTGTATTTCAGATCGCTATATAAGAGCATAAAAGCTAGCGTCGCATATAGGAGTCGGGCGAAAACACTGGGACCGTCGCGACCAAATGATCAACAATCCAACACACCACACTCCAAGAATTCAGAATATCATGCAAACAAACAATCACACTTCTCTTACGTGATAAAACGAAATCCATATACATGCAAACACTCCCATATCAAGCTTCTGGCAAGGTTGAGAGGAACAAGTTAGTGGCCATGTCATTACTTTTCACACAATTTCACCCTCCTCTCCTTCCTCTCCTCCTCCTCCCTCTTCATCACGACCACCATGTCGACTGCTACCATGTTCTTCTCGATGTTCACTTCTGCGTCGCTTACGTCGACCTTCATCAGATTCATCTTCTGTGGCGTGTTTCTAAAAGCAGCAACACTTGTCAGCAAACAAAGCAGATGCACCAGGACTTATTCAATTTTTGGACTTACCCTTCTCTTATGACGACTCCTATCTCTCTCCCTTCCACCTTCTTCTTCGCCACTACCAGCAGGCGCAGCAACACCACTTGTAGCAGGACTACGTGATCTGTGATGCCTTTTATGTTTCTTACGATCACGATCACTACTTCGTTGTTCTCGTTCACCATCTCGAGCTTCACGGTCTCGTCTTGATCGTTTTCTTGATTCTGAAGCTTCTTGGTCGTCGATTGGTTCTTCATGGATTTCCTTTTCTTCGACGGATTTGTCGGCCTTTTCTGCCTTTTCCTGAATTGATGAAACAATGGAAATGATGAGCAGCGAAAAAAGAAAGAAATTGTGCGCCGTTTCATGCACTTACAACCAGACGTGCAATGAACTTGTCAAACACTTCACGACGTTCTTGATCATCCAAGTCTTGATATTCCTGACGTTCTTGGATTCGTGCTATGGCCTACGTATCAGAGCCAACTGTAAGACGGCTAGCGAAGAAAAAAAAACTCATTATATGAGCATTGATCACCTCTGAGTAAGGAGTTGTAATAGCAACAGGTGGTTCCAATCGTTTCAAGATACTTCTAAGAGCATCCATCTTTCGATGCTTTCGTCGTTCTTCTCGTCTCTTTTCCTTCTCTCGATCTTCAGCATTGTCACCTCCACCCTTGTCAGCACTTCCTCTTTGAATATTTTTCTTAGCTTTGATCTTCAACTAGGTAACGAAATACAGTGAGCATACGTGTGCGTGTTTCAAATGTACTACAACAAAAACACTTACATCTTGGAAAGCAGTACGAAGAATTACAGGATCTACTGCCTCGATATTACCAGCTCGAGCAACTTGAGCAGCAAAGTCTGCATATGTGGTATCTGTTCCAACTTCCACTCTTAGCTCCTAGTGTAGTGTATGACGTGTGATAAGTTACATGCAATGGCAAGCACAAACAAAAGAGACAATTCAAAGATTCAAATGTCCAGCTATGACATGGTTCAGCAGCGCAATCTCCGGCTCCCAACTACACAACATCAACTCATTTCATACCTTGAGATGATCCAGAATACCTCTCCTCTCTTTTGCATAACGAGTCTCCAAATCATACACCATCTCAAAAAACAATTCAAGAGGTGTTGATCCAGCTTGACCCAACATATTCAAGAACCGAGGATCATCTTTAAGCAATGGATACACATCCTTCCAATAGGTCTTAGCAGTAATGTTGCCTTCTCGAACCATTTCAGCCATGAGACTCTTGTAATTGTCTCGATTTTCACGTTCAGATCTCTTCCTGCGAGTACGAGAGAGTCGTTGCTCTTCTTGATGTTGCATTTCGAATTCTTTAATGTATGCTTCGTAGATGGATAAAAAGTCAATGGGATCCATGGATTGGAGTTGCTTGTCAGTAATGTAGAGTGAATGAGACAGGTAAATCTTTTGAGCATCCCTCCATTTTGTATCAATGTTGATTTCTGGAATGGATTTTAAAAGTGCGCGGAATTTGGCCATGTTTTGTTTTCGGATTTCGCGAAGGTTGTCCTATGGAATGGTTGAAGCGTCGTTAAGCAAAAAAAAGGCGAAGAAAACATTGGGAGCAAGCTCAACGTTTGGTTGAGCCTTCATCTCTTACCATTTCTTCCTTCTTGACCTTGTCCATATACTCTCGATGTAACACTCGTCGTCTATCTTCACTGAGGGACTTCCAGAACGGATTGTTCTTCATTTCTTCTGACAGCATCCTAGAAGTTGAGTTCGTTTAGCAGCAGAAAGCAAAAATATTTGTCTCATTTGCAACATATACACACTTGTATCTCGGCGCAGCTCCTAGCTGTGGATTCTCCTTGACAAGTCGAAGAAATCCATCTCTTTCTCGGGTATCGCGCTGTCGGAAATCGTCCTAACAAATACAATTGTGAGAAAAAAGCGTAGAAGATGGCAAAGCGACGTCTTTTGGACTTACATCTTCTCTCTGCTTGATATCATCCACATACTCTTGAAACAATCTCTTTCGCTCCTCCAAAGTCTTGACTGCTCGATAAACAGGCTTGTCAATAGTCTTGGCCATAGTTGCTTCCCATGTCCATGACCATTTAGCTCCCTAAAGATTTGACACAAGATTAGCCAGGATCTAATCATGCTTTTTTGCAACAAGACACCTACCACTTTGGCCAGCATTTGCTTGAACGCAGCAGCTGCTTCTGCTGGATTTGCGTAAGTGACTTCTTCTTCTCGATCTGAAGGAGTTGCTGCTCCATTTGGTCGTTTTTGATCTTCGGCACCAGCACTATTTGAGTACGAAGTGTGAGCAATGTGCCAAGCTGGGCTGCGCGTTCGTGTTAGACAAAAATTACGGTATGGGAGGAGGTCCTTGAGGTTGATTGAAGGAATCAATCAAGGCTAGAGTTGTCAGTGAGAGCATGTGTTAGCGTAATACTACTGTACGATTCTAGCTGATTCGCATTAACACACATACCCTTGTATTCAGCTGGAGGCTCCCAAGTAGTCTGTTTTGTATCTATAGCGAGGTAGCCATGAGCATACATGTCGTATTTGATCGCTCTTGTTTTGCTATACTAACTATCATTGTAATAGTACTTTTTCCCTTCTGCAGATGTGAATTCCTTGATATGGAATGTGACCAATGCTTTCTAAATAATGGTAAAAGTTTGATCATGATGCACATAACGTTTCAGTCTTTGCCGTTGACGTACTTCTAGAGGAGTCTTGAGCTCATCAGGTTTCTCCCAAGTGGTGATTCTAGTGATTTCATTAAAGTAGTATGGCTTTCCTTCCGAGTTTGTGAATTGCTTCCATGGTGTTTGCTGGATGAAACACATGAGGTGGATTGTCAGTATAAGAGCTGATAAACTGGTCAAAGTTGATCGTTTTTCGCACTTGCTGCGGTGGTAGCTGAGGAGGAGTAATGGGAGGAGGAATGAATTGTGTAGGACGCATAGGTCCACGGAAATTTGACGGTGGTGGTCTTTGTCCCTATATGAATATAAAACTACTTGAGTCTGATGTCTTATGTGAATGGTTGGATTTTGTAACGTTTGATGAAGCACGTACAGGCGACTAGAACCAGGGGTAAAGAGCAGTTAGAACGATGGATCATCAGAGCTTCTAATGCAGCAAATAAATGTGACAAAAATGGGATCTTTGAACTTACATTCCACATAGCTTCCAAATATCGAATTCAACACCAGAAAAACAAGGATTTTCAAGCTTCTCGTATCGAAGCGTAGCAAGACTTGTGAATGTAGCCCTGGCGCTTGATCAGACTAGGAAGATCCACACGTATATACCTCTCTCTATTTGCTAAGGATGCAACAGTCTTCACCGACGCAAACTCGAAGCAAGTCGGAACTGCAACAGCTACAGAATGACGAAGTGAATGTGCTTAAGAGTATATTTGGAGTAAGTTTCCTTTAATTTCATTATCGCGTGATTTCTATGGTGTTATTCTCGCGTCCTTTTGTGCATTTTGTATTGTCGATGACTGCAACATCAAATCACATCTTAAACAACATCTCCCATCTTTGGTTTTCTCTTATTTTCAGGATGATTTCGTGGAGAAAAAGACAAAGAAAGGTGTAGATAAGGCCTTCTTTCTCAAACTGGAGGGATTCGGTGAAGATATTCGAGGTCTCGTTGGAATCGAGGTCCACGTCAGGTTTGTGCTACTAGTGAGCCTACTTGGAACTATCGTGTCATGAATGAATGCTGCTCGATCAGCCTGATCTCATCGTGATTCGTTGTGCTTAGAATGGGGGAAAAGTATCCAGTCCTACCACCACTTCTGGGTCTCGAGAAAGCTACAGGCATTAGCGATGATCAGGCTGAGGAACTCCAAACTCTCTTGATTGATAAGGCTAAAGAATGTCTTGGAAACGAAATGATCTTTGATTTGGCTACTCTTGCTCAACAATACATCACGTAAGAACAAAAAAAGAGCTATAGAAAGAGTTTCGTATGCTCGACGCTTACACTGACACGTGCTGCATGTGTGTCTCAGAGAAAACAATGTGGCGATACGAAGAAATCAGCACAGAGGACTACACGCTGAGATGCTCTCTCGAAAGGAAAAGAATGAGGCAGAGGAACAGAAAAAGATTAGTAAAGAGTTGCGTGAAGCTGAAGAGATACGAGTTAAAGCTGAACAAGAAGAGCACCTGAAACAAGTACTTCAATATGAGGTATGACAGTCTCAACGGTTGAAGTTCCTTTACGATGAAGTACAGAATTGTATATGCTCTTACATTGGATTGGTTTTCGCTATCACGTATTAATGAATCAAACATCTTCTCTATGTAGGAGGAGATACGACGAAAACAAGAACAAATGGATGAAGAGAAGCAGCGTAGAAGAAGGCAACGGCATGCTAGTCATCCAAATCATGACGATGCAACAACAACAGCATTCAACAGTCACGCAGCCCTACCAGAATTCATTGAGCCACCACTCAACCCATACCTTCCAAGTACTATAAAATCGAAATCACGATACCAAACAGATTTTCAAGAACTTGAACTACTTGGAAAGGGTGGCTTTGGAGCCGTCTTCAAAGTCCGTAATCGAGTCGATAGTCGTGTCTATGCAGTCAAGAAGATACGACTCGTGTCAAGTGGTGATGTATCTAAACTGTTACGTGAAGTGCAGAGTCTAAGTAGAATCCAGAATCAGTATATTGTTAGATACTACCAGTCGTGGTTTGAAGAATCAGATGGCAGTGTATGGCATGCTGATTCAGAGGATGAATTCTCGTCGAGCTCTGAAGATGACGAAGACTCATATAGTGAAAGCATAGATGAATCTGAAGAAGAAGATAAGCCAGATACGAACTCGGATTGGTTGGCATCTAGAGAAATGTCACGATCACGTAGTTTCCTCATAAATCCCAATAATCCTGGTGGTGCTGCAGAAAGCACAAACACTCCATCATCCGTAGCAGTAACCACCGATTCTGATAGTAAATCAAGTGTGAAACCCATGGAACGAGTCCTCTACATCCAAATGGAATACTGTGAAAAACGAACACTACGAGACTTGATTGACGAAGGCCCTCTAGCCGATAACGAAATATGGGCATATCTTCGTCAAATTGTAGAAGGGCTCGCTGAAATTCATCGACAGGGTATGATACATCGAGACCTCAAGCCAGGAAACATCTTCTTGGACGCCGACAAGAATATTAAGATTGGAGATTTTGGACTGGCTACCACGAAAACAGACATGGCGTCTGATCCTAGAGCTATATATGATTTGGTCGCTAGTAATGATATTGAAGCCGAGTCTTTGACTCAGGCTCTGGGAACGCCTGTATATGTGGCTCCTGAAATGAATGTCAGGAGTCCTAGTACTAGTACTAGCAATTCCATTGTTGGTGGTGTGGCTGGTGCTGGAGGAAAGGGTATTCCCAAGATTCCAATGTACAATAATAAGGTTGATATGTACAGGTTAGTGTTGCAATGCGAGTACTTGAGCATGTAAGCCGTTTCTTGTACAAACTAGATATTTGATCAATCGAATTCATAGCTTAGGAATAGTCCTATTCGAAATGTGCCACCCCTTCGGAACAGCAATGGAACGAGCTATATGTCTACGAGAACTACGCCGTCCCGAGATCCTCTTCCCATCCGAATTCGACTTGAAACGACACGATGCCAAATCCAAGATCATTAAATGGTTGCTTTCACATAACCCGAAAGAACGCCCGTCGTGTTTAGAATTGCTGTCTTCGTCTCTTATGCCGCCCATGCTGGAAGAAGAGAAGCTTGCTGAAGCGTTAAGACTCATGACGAATATTGAGAATCCATTGTATTTCCCACGGTTGAGTAAAGTCCTGTTCTCGAGAGAGGCTGATAAGCATAAGGATGCTGCTTTTGATTTTAACAGGTATGTGAGAATGTTGGTCAAAGATTATGGCGCTTTTTACAAAAAAATTGACCTCAGAATCAATCCATGTCTTCTTGCACTAACTGAATTCTTTCTCAATGACCGATTAGTGAAGCAAACATCTTAAGACCTGAATTGGAACTGGCTGTCAAGAAAGTACATGACTTGCTAAAAGTCACCTTTGAAAGGCATGGAGCTCTTGAATTGGTACCTCCTCTTCTCATGCCCAAGACAGATCTGTATGATCAGAATAAGCAAGTGGTGTCGTTGATGGATCCTGATGGGAATATCGTGCAGGTGAGAAATTTGTTGTGAGTTTATTGAAAATATTGCGGCTTTGTTCGTTTTTTTGGCATGGATTCCTGTTCTCAACTCTTGCGTTTTTTGATAGTTGCCGTATGATTTGACAGTACCATTCGCTCGATATGTTTCTCGAGTGCCTCAAAATGTTGTTCGTCTGAAAGTGAGTAATTTGATTGAACACAAAAAACCGTCCCACCTTGTCATCATTCTCACACTTTTCATTTGTAGAGATATGCTTTTGGTCGAGTATATAGACTGAATAGAGCCAAAGGACAACCACGATCAGTCTACGAAGCAGACTTTGATATAATAACAGCAACTCCTGGAGGGAGTGTAGTAGCAGAAGCCGAAGTCATCAAAGTCGGCATAGACATTATATATGACGTTCCAGAAATGACGACATCGTCAGATATATACTTGATTCGGGTCAATCATGGATGTATCCTAGACGGGATATTAGACGCTTGTCGATTTCAGCGTAATGTTGAGACTCGACGGCTTGTATATCAGATATTAGAGCAGTTGGATAAACCTTTTACGTGGTCGCAGATACGAAAGTCTTTGCAGCAGACTTTTCCAAGGACGTGTTTGGATTTGCTGGAGCCGTTTGCTACTCTGAAAGGTACAACAAATCAGATTTTCTAAGGGCAAAAAAGGACACACAAAGTTACTGACGATAACAACTTTTAATGTCTTTTGCAGGTGATTTGGATTCCACATGTCACAAACTAGAAGCACAATTATCTGGTGAAGCATTATCACTGGCACGAACTGGTATTTCCCAACTTCGACAACTAATCAGCATGTTGAGTTTGTTGAATGTGAGGAATCGAGTGGTTTTTGTGCCTACTTTGTCACATAATGCTTGGTTTTGTAAAACGGGATTAATGTTTCAGATATGTACGGTCAAAAAGAGAAAAGTTGGTGAGTTGATAGTGTGATCCCAAAACGTAGCAAGTTGTTGTACAAGGATAGCTCACACACGCTTAACTGTGTAGATGTGGTTGCTGCTGGTGGACGATATGATCACTTATTGGCCACTTTGCGACTCCCTTTTGGACGTAGCCAGCTCATGCTGGGTGTTGGAATTAGTATTGGTGAGTTTGTGGCCATTGGCAAAAAATGAACCTACACAGCGATGGACTTGCTTTGCAACTATTTTATCTAATATACAACATGATCTTATGATAGCACTCGACAAGATGATTGGATCAGTCGTCTCCGCCGAACCAGACGAAATAACACCACAACAACAGCACAAGGATCGTAATCGAATTGATTCAGCACATGGAGCTGAAATCCTTGTGATTGCTCTGACACGAGGACACTTGCAGGATCGATTATCGATTGTAGCTGATTGCTGGTCTTGGGGTTTTTCAGCCGATGTGCAGTATGAGGAGGCCACATTGTCTATAGTTGATGCCTTGAATGCTGCACAGACGAGAGGCTTTAGTGTTGTTGTGGCTGTGAGGACTACGGAACGTGGATTGGATTTGAAGGTGTACAATTTGGTTAGCAAAAGTGCTACTGAAGGTGAGTAAAAAAGTTTCCAATGTAATCTATAACGACTTGAAATGTAGCGTTCGATCGTCGATTGTCGCTCACACATATTAATACAATGTTTCTTAGTTTCGAGAGTAGAACTACGGAACAGACTAATCCAAGAAATCAGCCACATCAAATCCAAACACCAACGAATGTCGACACCTCCAACGCTATCCGATACACGGTATCAACCATCTACCCCCTCATCATCCACATCACCACTAACAAGCACAACACCAGTCGTATCGGACGTTCAATTGATATTAGCATCGTCACAACAACATTCAACAAAATCCAAACAAAAACATAAAAATAAGCTAATGATGCAAACATCAGTGAAATCGGCTGTTGCATCTAAACTTGATTCGTTAACTAGTGTGGGCATTGTGGGTGTTGAGGCACCTGGTAGTTTGTTGAGGAGGCTGTGTAAAGTTGTGGATGTGAATGACGATGCTGAGTTTAGGAGTGTGCTGGATTCGACTCCTGCTCCTTTTCGAGAGTGAGTATTGACTTACTTTGGTGATACTTTTCTTGGTTTGGGACTTTGAGAAGCAGGACCAAAATAGAAACAGGAAGTTGGGGACATGTCATTCTCTCAACACTCGTTCATTTTTCCTTAGGGTGATATCAAATACACGGGCCCTGTTACAAAAAACAAAGAATACAGCCAAATCCATTTGGTTGAATTCCACTGTTGACCAATCTACTCATTTGTACAATTTCGAATAGTTAATTTTTGGATTTGGCTTCAATATAGGCACACATTCACATGCATGAAAAGAGGGAGAAGGACTATTCGATTGGTTTAGCAGGATGTCGCTCTGGAGGAAAAATGACGAATTGGTGAATATATAGATTTTGCTCACTTCGTTTGAACTTTAGAGCTACCTATGATTTGGTTGGTGTCGAATATTCAAGTTGATTCTGGGACTCGGACTTTGGAGAACGGTTGGTGACATTCCTTCGAGGGAAGGGAAACCGAAATTGGTATTGGCCATCGAGGAAGTACAACAGCAAGTTTGCAATTGACATAACAATATTTAATTTGTACAGTTTAGTTTCGGACATACTCAAGCCTGTTGGAAAGAACGCCCATCGTGTTTGGAATTGCTGTCTTCTTCTCTCATGCCGCCCATGTTGGAAGAAGGGAAGCTGGCTGAAGCGGCGAGACTCATGACGAAGATTGAGAATCCATTAATTTCTCACCGTTGACTAAACTGCTGTTCTCGAGAGAGGCTGACAAGCATAAGGATGCTGCCATTGATTTTAATAGGTACGTGATATAACGTCGAGGTTCGAAAACCAATGCGCGTTGTTCTATATATTTGATTACTCGAATTTCACTGGCTGATTTCTTGTCGTCTCTTATCAATTAGTGAAGCAAACATCTGCGTATTGAAGTTGGAACTGGCTGTCAAGAAAGTACATGACTTGTTGCAAGTCACGTTTGAAAGGCATGGAGCTCTTGAATTGATGCCTCCACTTCTCATGCCCAAGACAGATCTTTATGATCAAAATAAGCAAGTGGTGTCGCTGATGGATCCTGATGGGAATATTGTGCGAGGAGAGAAGTTTGCATCCGAGGGCCCTTAACGTGAGCTCACAACACGCTTTCATTTCCTTTTAGGGCCATATCAAACACTAGGGCGCAGTTACAAAAAAACAAAGAATACAGCGAAATCCATTTGGCTGGATTCTACTGTTGACCAATCTACTCATTTGTTAGTTTTTTTGGGTTCAATATAGACACACATTCACATGCACGAAATGAGGAGAAGAATATGTGAATGATTTAGCAAGATGTCGTTGTTGGGAAATCCAGTTGGTGAAGGTATAGAGCTCTTTTTGGGAGCTTTAGGGCTACATATGTGGTTTGGGTGGTTAATTGGTTTATCAATTTACTCCTAGTGAGTAATTGTATTGTTGGAATTTCTTGAAGGAAGGGAAACGGAAATGGGAATTGCCTATCAAGAAAGTACATTGCTAGATTTCGAATGGAACAGGAAAAGGTTGGCTAGTACTGGTTAGTCTCGTATATCGAAGGTATCGCTGTTTCAGTTTTTGGTCAAGTCTAATCTCGCAATTTTACTGTAGAAATACCTCTCTCTGACATGCACCATCACAGCATGGGAAGAGTATTACTATGACCGGAATGCCGGAAAAGGCTACAGCTATATCCAGTTAATTGCATTCTCTACTGTTGATCAGACTTCTCATTTGTACAGAGTCGAATAAGTGTTATTGCTATGATACATACACCTACGTACAAAAAAAAAGATGAGTTTGGTCTGATTCAGGATCGTTGAAGCCATCATTCGGTAACGCATCGGGGTCATTGACATCATGGGTATCAAAATATATAGTTGAGAATCACAAAACTACAAACAATCTACAAGAACTCAATACAATTTACGTCTCCTCCACCACCACACGTCTAGACGACCTCCTCATCCTCTGATTTCCCTTCCCAGCAATCGGCTGTGGACTACCATTCAAATTAAACGCAGCACTAATAGCAACACCATTCGCATCCTTCGTAGTCGTTATCGGAGGCTCAACCCCAGACACCAAAGCTCCACAATCTAACCCATCAGCACCCCACGTCCCCTCAAACCTCTGACACAGAAACAAGTTCAGATCCGTAGCTGCATTTACATCCGGCGTCGGATAATTACTCGTTACGCCACTGAACGAGTAGATTGCATGGGCTCCGACAGTCCATAGGTTGAGGCAGTATTGTTGCGTGGATGCTTGCGCTATGGTTGTGACTAGTGGCTGGAAGACTCCAGCTCGGTAGAGGTTTATCTTGGTGAGGTTTGTTGCGCCGTCTATGAGGACCATTGGATCTCCTGCTGGGATTGTTGCTATTGGGGCTTGTTGGTAGAGGGCAGCTTGGATTTCGTTGAGTGCTGCTCCTGCCCGTGGAGGGCCATTCATGTTTGATAAGTCCATTGCCTGACCGTGCAGGAGAGTGAGATTGGTGTACGAAGATCACGAAGCAAAGAAGAACAAAATATCTACACATAGCACCCAAACTGCTCAACGTCACCTCATACCTTCCATGGTGAACATCCCAGCGCGGTGTCCAAAGAATTAGACACCAATTTATTATCACTCGCATTCACAGTGATATTCACATTCCCTGTCTGGTTGAGATTCTGCACATTCTCAACGTTATTCTGAGCAAACTGAATCGCTCCATTCGACATGGGAACAGCTAGATACGTCGTCACAACGTTGTCACTTTGATCCATGTCTACAACGACAAAGGATCTCACGGTATAACAGGACACGTTCGTGATTGGTGATGTTGCGAGCGGTGGTACTATGAGCATGTTGCTTGTAAGGGCACTACAATGGTGGGATAGAAAGAAGAGTGAATGTTTATAAAGTGTTTGAGGAGATGTAGTTGTGTTTACGTTGATACAGCAGCCCAAAATGCCGTTGGATTACAGAATGCGACCTAGTTGGTAACAAAGTAAGTACTTGGCTCGCAGTGGTAACGAGCACAATCTGTTATACCTGTCCAAATACTGAAGCACCAAGACCATTTACACAGTTCCCTATCCAAAATAGTGTGAGCAAGAAACCATCAATTCAACAGACTCATGTGCTATTACCTTGCACAAGACTATTCGTTCCGGCTGCAGACGCCAGCGTGGTACTTCCTCCATTTCCTCCAAACCACAGCCCAACAACATCGTCTGGCGAAAGAACTGGCACCACAGGAGGTACAGCCGGTGTTGGGTTATCGTCATTAACCACCAATGGCGAGTATAGTCGGATATTTCCAGTCTTGGGATTGATGATCGCAGCTTCCACGAATACAGCTCTGTCGTGAATGGTGGTTGAGCTTGAAAATCAGTTCCACTTGGTATTGTTACAGCAAACTACGCAATACCACTTACTCGAGTGGATTTGTTTGATCACATAGAGCCTTCTTTTGGATGTAAGGAGTAGCTAGTCCTTGAGCAGTGAGTGGGTTTGCTGGAACGGCTATGCGATGTTTGGTGTTGAAAAATGTTTAATGTTGGTCAATTGTGAGGCGAAATATGGGTAAAGCAACGCGAAGAAAATCTGAATAGCTCATTGATAATATAGACAAGCGAAAATCACGACAAAGCTCCGGAACATTGTCCATTCTAACAAGCTTCCACCAGTCTTGCGACAACGAAAAACACTTAAATTTAGAATCTTACTTAGGACGCATTGGCAAGACACCGTGGAGATCCAAAGCATCCAGATCACTGCTGAGGGCTGAATAGAGTGCATCGCAGGTATAGCTTGAATAGAGTCTCGCTATTATGCAATGTTTACTTTTCCAATGTTAAAAGCTGACATCTCCATCATCTTGCTCACTGTAGAAGATCGTTTAGGAGATATGATAATACGAAATCATGGACTTACATGATGGATCTTGCATCCAGAGTGCTGTACAGCTTCCACTTGACGTCCTATATCTCGTATTCGACATACATCCACCTCATCACGGACAACTACACAGGCAGGAGGACACTATAGGAACAAGCGCCAGGCATCCAGCTCACTACAGGTATGTATACGAATCGTAACAGAGAGCTCTGACCCAGCTACATTGTAACAATCGTGGGATTCCCAACAAACATGCCACACAGCTAACCAAATGTTTCTCCTTGATCCATGCCACTCTGCAAATGGCAAGACGCTAGATTATGGAGCAGGACCGACCCGTTCACTAAACGTCGCCATCCTCTGCATGCCATGTGTTAGCAAGATATGGACATAAGTGTCGTTTGCTGCTCATTTGCCAAGTTAAGTCAGCTCTTGTCGATTGTTGTTATGGAAGGTTGGGAAGAGATGTATGGTAGTCTCTTCTCCTCAATACACGCACGCTCTTGCTCGGGTCGATGCCAAAACACTGGAACCATGACTCTGCGGGGAACCAGCATAAGAATACTCTTCTTCGTTTGAATACCTGAGAACACAAACCGAGAGCATCCCATTGCACCAGAACCATGAGTATGCGTGGAACCGGCATAAGAATACTCGTCTTCGCCATGGGGTGTGGGAATAGTCAAAGAGGGGTGTGAAGGGACAGGCTCCAAAAGCAATTATAGAAGCTAACCCAGGTTTTTTCTTTAATAGGGACTCGCGTCGAATTTGTGGCAGTCTGTTTGTGCCCAACATGATTCAAGTCAAGTGTTAATCTAGTCTGTATTTGACGACAGTAGTATGTCCACAGTACGCTGCAATCATAGTGGTGTCTGGCGGTTCTGATTGGCAAGGCTGACATCGCCTCCCTGTTTGAAAAGTGAGGAAGGAAAAGAACAGATGAAAGGGAAAAAGGTTGCAACTTTTCCACTAGCCATTTCACCATTCCCAAGTGACCATTTCATCCTGCAGACCATACACGAGTATGTCCTTCTGCTTCGGGAGTGTTAAGATCATCTTTGGCTTCACGAGTGAATAAAAATTTGGTTACTTCCAAGTGTCCTTGATAAGTTGTTGCAAATAAGGGCGTTCGACCGTCGTTAGTGGCCACTTTGACATCACCTCCCTCAGCAAAGTGATGTCAACAAACCCGACAATGATGGAAGAACAGCGCTATGGCAAGCTGCATTGGTGGACATCTTGATGTCGTGAAGTATCTATTTGAGCATGTAAGAATCTCCTTCTGATGTCCGTTTCTCTTCTGGATGTCTGGTTTAAATCTCTTTCTTTCAATCTCGAACTGTTCGAGAATGAAGAATAGAGATTGTAATGAACAGAGATTCTAACGAACAAACGCGAGAGGGAGATATACCTTCTCAGCAATCCATTTCAATCCCTTTATTCTCATTGTATACTGCAGTCCAGAGCAGTGTCTCGCCCTCCCGATTGGCAAGTACCCCCTCAGACGAGGAGATCGAAACCAGACGTTCCGAAGAAAAGCAGATAATGGAAAGAGATTCATTAATGGTCCAATAGATACACAACCATGCGGGATTGCGACATTGGCAGTTGCAGTCCAAACACGAGCATACCGATTCAGCCACCCAACGAGAAAACGGCAGCAGGGGAAGATTACAGCATGTTCAAAGATATTGACGCCTGCGTCTGTATGTCACATGATTGTCCATACGACATCTTTTGGCATCGTAACCAATGTTGCTCTATTATTCCGAGTACAACGACGACGCCATAACCAAGAGAGAGGATCATTCTAAATCGGGTAGATTTCTCAGCTGACGATAGGCTATAGTTTGGTTGATATTGTCAGATTTGGCTCACTCAGGTCGTCACAAGATAGATCACTGGCATACACGTTGAGAAGTATCAAGCAAGATAGTCTTGCCAGACCCCTGCAATTCTATATGCTTAGTCATCTGTTGTGCATCCAGATCATACATTGTACCTTTTGACCTCGTCAGTTGAGCAACGAACAACTATGAGCGACACTACAGTGCTCTGGATTCAGCTCTTGAGGCGAGAGGCTGAAAACGCTGACGAGTCATTGGCTGCACTTTATGAGTTGGGACCTGCAGCGCAAGTCGAAGTGAACGCCACTGTGACTAATATCGATAGTCTCCGCGAATATCTCATCAATTATGAAGACTTCAAGAAGTCATTGATTGGCATCCAAGGTTATCAATTATATGTATATATGGATGCAGAATGCAAAACGCCACTTCTGGCCGACACATCAATCACCCAAATCGAAACATCAGAGGACAATCCCTTGAGAGTCGTGAGGCCCGCTCCACCTGTAGATAGGATGTCTTTTACGATAGAAAGTCCAGGTAAGCAACTCCCCTCGTTTGGATATGTCAGTATTACTGTTGATTTGAACAATATTGTTTTACTCACAAAGCAAATCCAGATCCCAAATTACAGGCTATGCAACTTCTCCATTCAACACTCTGGAACAAAAGACAATCAATGCACGATAGTCTTCATGAAACTGTAGTATGCAATGTTCCAACCCTCGCAACCATGCAGCAAGTTGGGGAGTTTGACACCGCCACTCTACACTCTCTCCATTGAGCTTCACTGTGATTCGATTGAAAGATTTGATGGATATATATAGATCGCAAGGCCTGCTAGGTATATTCCCATTATTTATCCACAGGTCTGCGCCTAAACTACTTGTGAACAAGGAGTACTGCCTCCTGCACGAGTTTTTAAAGAGGATCTCTGCTGAGGGCACTGTCAAACTAGGAATGACGTCTCGTGCTATAGTAGGGAACCCTGGAATTGGTAATACACTTGTTTTTGCGTTGATGTTAAATTGTGCATTGACAAGTCCTACTGTGATGAAACAAGGAAAGTCCATCTTTTTGCTATATATCTTGATCGAACGATTACTGGATGGTCTACCGACAGCACTTCAAACTAGCCTATCTTGCTATCATTATTTTGATCATTCTGGCGTCATCATGAATGCATCTACTAGAAGCTGTCCGTCAGATATTGGGAATCCAACTTGGGGCTTGGTTGATTCAAATCAGGAGGTTGTCAATCCATGCGTTGGACTTATCGGCAATAGTCAATTATTGGTGGTTCAAGCGACTTCACCGAAAGTCGAGCGCTATAGCGAGTGGACGAAGCAAGCCAATGCATTGATCTATTACATGAATAATTGGACGTGGGAAGAAGCTGCATTTTATGGGTAAGTTGTTTAGTCATCATTTCAATTTGCTGATGATGATGACCATTATAAAGCTCTGAGGTACTCCACTTGGACATGAATCGAATATGGGAAGCTTGGAATGATTGGAATCCTTGTCCTCGATATTGCTTCAGCATTGCAAAATCCGAGGCACTTATGCAGTCATATCAAAGGAGTGTTGTCAAAGGTATCGGAGTTAATAGACAGGATCTAATTCCACTCGTGCGCTCTGGAAGGTCTCCCAATGCAGAAGAAACCTCAAAGCTAATACTGCTATCTGGTGTTGAAGCTCGAACTGCAGAGTACTGGAGTCTCGGCCGAATTGACTTCAAAGTAGAAATTATAGGAAAACAAGTCATCCGAATGATAAGTGACGAAATGGAAACCCGCTCCGATGTCGATCGTACGTCTTTCTATAATATACTAAGGAGTACGTCAGGTGAAGCAACTGTACGTGGTACGATGCTGGAAGCCAGAATGCACCATCTTATGTCCACGCAAGGGCCTCCACTCAATGCTACATGTCTGACCGACAGATCAGAGTTACTCGTTGCACCAACAGGTACGTCTATATTGCAGAGTCGTTTTGAAAAATTAATTTTAACGTTCATGACATTGGAATGCTAGAGAAAGTCGTCAGATTCATGAAGGCCGATTTGTCAGCAATGCTGAAGGACAAAGAGTCTGGGTACTTCTGGCCAATAGCATCAAATGCCAGTTTTGATGGATTTATATGGGACAGGAAGACGAGCATCATTATTCTATTGCAGGCTACGGTTTCAGCTGTCCATCCAATAAAGCAAAGCGGTCTCGAGGAACTATTGAAAGCGTTTCGAGACGCTGGCTTGAGAACACCTGAGTATCCATGGCCACTTGTATTTTGTACCCCAAACGATGCACCTGAAATTCAAACTACCCAGCAAGTCCAGGGAGTTTGGAATACAAGGGTTACTCAGTACACCTTGAAGATGTAAGTAAGCTGTCGAGCCGCACAAACCCTAACGCCGTCGACGTCTAACGAGTCTTTCGTAGATTGCAATCATATGATCACTTGGTGGAATCGTCAAATAGCAACCAACTATGGCTTCATTATGCAAATATTCTTTGAAAAACATTTGAGAAACATTGAAAAAAAATCATGTGAATTAGCTTGTACCGTTTAGCATTATGTAGTACCCCAGCTTTATGTATCATAAGAAGACACACATTATTAGAGGGTAGAAACTTTGTGTCGTCTTTGTTGTCGTTGTTTTCTTGTCCCAGTGTAGTGCTCGCGGTGTGTGAAAGCTCCAAACCTCTTACAATCTTTTCCTCCCTTCGAATCTGCATCGCAACTTCACTGAACATCAGACCGTTCTCCACAACACCACACCATGCAAGTAGTTTCCAAAAGCTATATATTTTTGTATGTGATCTCCTCCTGTCTAGAAAAAGTTACAAGCTTATAACCCTCTCGCATCCTTTTGTTATATAATACTCAACGAGCAGCACCGCCACCAGCAGCACCACCAGCCCCTACATCCACACTAGCATACTGAATAAGATAATCTCGTGCCTTCACATACATGGCTTTAGCCCATGTAGGAGTACTTGCATTCTGCTCAATCATCCCATCCAACCGAATCCTTAAGTCATTGAATGCTTGTTTCGTGGTCGGGCTGAAGATGTACCTGAATCTAAGAGAAACTTGCACATAAGATTTTTATCATGTATATGGAGGTAAAGATATATCTGTACCTTAAAAAGTTTGCATATAGGAAGGGGCTCAAGATGGAAGCTCTTCCGGTAAATACTGACAATACTAGCACGGGAAGCGTGACGTACACTTCTGCGTATGCTACCATGCGCAGAGCCGATGCTTGGTAGCGCTGTACGAATTGAAGGAGGGATTGTTGGAGGCGTCTAGAGAGTGAGACTTGAGCTGATGTTGGTGGAACGATGGCTGGGAGGACGTCTGTTCTTATGAATGTGATGGAGTGGAAGACTGAGAAGGTTGTATATGGGATCAGTGTAACTATGTGTTGCGGGAGAGGAGATTGTTAGGAAACATGGCTTCGTTTGCCAGAGCCTTTATTTGGTTTGCATACCCGAGATTGGAGAAGAGGTGAGCCAAATCAGAGCCAATAGTAGATACTGAGTGTTTTCATCCAGCAGGATTCGTTGCATATATGCTCGACTTATTTGAGGAATCTAGGAGAGAGTGATCGCATCAGTGACCACATCTCTTTCACATTGTCAGATTCTTTTTCGTCTGCTTCACTTACACCATGAGCCTTGTACAGAATGATTCCATAACTCAGCAATGTTCCCATATAAGCTCGAGAGTAGCTTCTGGCTCCTTCAGCTGATAATCGATACACGACCAGATATGACAATGCTTGCACCACTAATTTGAGTGTGAAGTTGCTTTGAGTCTTCCAGTTATACAGACCTGACAAGCAAGTGAGAGCTAACCAGTAGTCAGATGCCTAGTGAATGAATGAATGATAAGTGGAAGGTAGTTTGAGGTCGAGTTCGCGCATCCATGCAAGCAAGTCTCATCAGCGTTTGACTCTCTGGAATACCAGCACTTGCGAGAGTAGTATGGATCTTACCCGGCAAACCAGAGGAACTGAGCAGTAAGCACCAAGCTCTTCAACCTCATAACCAAGGGTTGGTTTGGAGCAGTTTGATTTGGTGCCTGTGATGGTGGCGGATTTGTTGAAGACATTGTTTTATATTGTTATAGCCTGGTGAGCCGTGTGTCTACGTAGCGTTGGAAGTGATTTCCTGGTATTCCTTGAGTGTTGGAAGTGTGTGTCTGTGCTCTATAAAAATTCGAATTGATTTGGGCAAGTCTTGGAGAGTTTCGGAAAGTGAGGGACTTTGAATATCACGGAGCGAGTAGCTTACATTGATCAGGCCACCCTATAGAATGTCCAAGAGAGTCCTGAGTATCCAGAGCCACGTTGTCTATGGATATGTTGGTAAGCAACAAGAAAGATTTGGAACGAGAAGTTTGCTGGTGTTGGAGTCGACGAGTTTGGTTTCATTTCTACGTGATTTTCGTGCATATTTCCTCTCGTCTTTCAACTTGTTTTGTATATTTGTACTATTAGGTAACAAGGCAGCTACATTCCCATTACAACTGCTTGGATTCGACGTCGATGCCGTCAACACGGTGCAATTCTGTAACCATACTGGTATGGATTCTTGCTTAATGTACATGCGACTCAATGATGATGAAGCTTTGGATGCTGATGAGCTTCTTTTCGACACAAAGGGTACCCAACTGTAGCTGGTGAACGTTTGGAAGGAGAGTCTCTAAGGAAGATCGCAGATGGACTAGCTGCAAATGGAATGCTGGAGACGTATTCTCATTTGCTGACTGGTATGTTGCTTTGAATAAGCTTTCGATGGCTCTGCTGAAGAACTAGCATCTGTCGTTTTGGTGCCTCTTACACAAACTAATGAACAGGATACATTGGACGTGAAACGGCACTACAAGCTGTCGCTGAACTAGCTCAAAACTTGAAGAAAAGGAATCCTGAACTGATATTTGGTATTTGGGCAAAGAAACGACTATTCTCATACGGGCCATACTAACACCACCACACTCTTAGTTCTGGATCCAGTAATGGGAGACGAAGGCAAACTGTATGTTCCCGAACCTCTCATCAACATATACAAAACAACACTCCTCCCACTCGCAGACATCCTAACCCCAAACGCATTCGAAGCCGAACTCCTCACCGGCACAAAGATAACATCCACCGAAACAGCCACCCAAGCTCTCACCTGGCTCCATACACACTCATCAGCACGATACATTATAATCACATCAGCAGCATTCGATAACGACGCGTCACATCTCCACCTTATCGCCTCATACAAGGATACCGATGGAGCATATAAACAGCTCGTAATATCATTCGCCAAACTGCATTTATCTAGTGGATCGTTTACAGGGACTGGAGACTTGTTTTCGGCAATGATGGTTGCGCATTTGCGTCCACATCCAGAGTTTGGTGATTTCGTGAGGGCGTGTGAGACTGCTGTTGCCATATTGCAGGGGATATTGAACGCTACGATAGGGAGGTTTGAGCAGGTGTTGAAGAGCGAGGAGGCTTTGAGTGGTAATGGTGAAATGAGCTCGGTGAGGTTGATTCAGGGTAGAGAGTTGGCGTTGATTTCGTCAAGAGGGGCTATTGAGCATCCTGATATTGTGTACCGTGCTCGTTTAATATAGAGAACATGGTTGGAAGAAACATGATTGACGTCGAACTTTCTCACATGCATTTCATCCATGTATGTCTTCTGTGTTCTGTTATGTACAATCTTCTGTGAATTACAAGAGATGCGACGTTACGATTGTGCTTTCAAACTATACCCTCTATGCATCAGCACAGCCATTCAGATATCAAGATTGGTATTGGCATGCTCATCTATTGAAAGGTGGGGTGTGGGAGCTGGATTCGACGTGTCAAATTGTCAAATGCGGGGCAGAGGTGCCAACCAGAAAGGCCGTTTGATGTCAATGTCCCACTTGCATGAATGTTGGATGACGGTGTAATCACGTGTAAGAAACATTGGTCGTTTACACCTCCAGGATATCTTGGCGTCAAGATACTTTAATCTTACTATTCAGAAGATACTCTGAGATCGTTAGATCGCTTGTAAAATCTAAAACAAAAAGAACTCGAACGCGATTCACAGTGCCGGTACGAGCGACAAAGAAGTCATTGCAGCTTCTTCATTGTACTTACCACCGACAAATTCATCAAGATTTTAGTAGCTTTGATGTTATAGAAAACGCCAATTCTCTGTTCATCGTTTGACTTTCGGACCGAATGCTTCAGGCTGACCCGAAGTACTTCATGATCAGAAATGAGGATGGGGAGAACTTAAGAAGCATGTTCGGAAGATACGATCTTTAGGAAGTTTTGCGACTTTCTCCATTCTGATAACGTTGCGTAACATAACCAAGTTTCGGCATTTTCATAACTTGCACACCTCCTATCCATGGTATGAGTTCTGTATTCTATTATGTACGATTCTCTGTAAACTACTTTTGCATGCACTTTTAACAATATTGCTTTCAAACTATGCCCCCCTCCATCCTTTAAAAATCCCTAATGTGTTCACGTATACCGATCTCACGGACTAGCAGCCATCGAACTAACAGCCGGTGGAGCACTCATCCTCCTAACACCATCCTTCCTCGATTCTCTAGCTGCTTCCGGTGTGGGAGGTGCATTCCCATCACTACTACCAGCACCACTGCCAGCACCCAAACTTCTTAATCGAAGAAACTCGTTATAGCTTAGGTGTCCTGCGTTGTGTAATTGATCCACCACTGGACCATTATTATGGTTGATTGTTCCTGGAGGACTATCAGGTGGTGATGTTGTTGAAGGTGCCATTGGAGGTAGGTCAGATGTCGGATGTGGTGATTCGGTTGTGGTGTTTTCTTTCGAGAGGTATGTTTTTACGTCCTGTGATTTCGGTTGTACGGCTAAGACTGCTGTGAGTGGTAGAGCTCCCATCAAGCCAGTTCTGTCGAGAAACAAAACATGTGAGATGAGAGATACCGGCGAAAAAAAACCCATCTCAACTAAAGAGGTCATGAGTAACTCACCGATGATTTCTGCCATATGCCCAACCATCCGAGAATGTATTGCTAATATCAATAAAAAGCGATTTGCACAATGAAACTTGGTAAAATGGCCCGAAAAATCAGCACTTACGAAATAGTAACAGGATCTCCAACCGCGAGCTCCATCTCATCCGGCAGACTTGGTTGATATCCTGCAACACACACAAAATAATCCGGCACAAAGCTTCCTGCAGCTTCTTCATACGTAGGTGGCAACATTCCTAAATCACCACCCACATTCCTCAACTGTGTAAAATCACCACCACTATTAAACACATTCGACATACTCGTAGCGTTACTGATACTCGATAAAAACGACGACATATGGTTTCCCGACGACGATGACGTTGTAGTTTGCTGCGGCATATTTGATGATTGCTGCAACGACGATGTAGGTGATGATGCCAGCAGGTTATTCACATGTGGTGTAGTGCTCAACGTGTTTTCATCCGAGTCGGCATGTACGCTCCCGTTTAAGACTGGCAGGACTCCTGGCGTATCATTTCCCCTAAAGAAACGAGCCGAGTCTGGTGTTCCTTGCATGTCTGGACTGCCAGTGTTGTCGTTGTTTGATATTGGGAAGACGGGTTCACGATGTTTTTTCTTGAGGAGGCGTTTCCTGTATGCGAACACGAGGGCTACGGCTGCTCCAACTAGTATGCCGGCTATAATCACTCCTGCTATCAGACCCTTGTTTACCGGGGTGGAGCCAGATATTAAATCACTGTTTGTTTGGTTTGTTGGGGTTGGGCTTGCAATTGATGTAGTGCTGGCGTTTACAGGAGAAGTTGTTGGTTTGGCAGGAGCTACCAGCGTCGATACGTTATTGACCCAATTGCCAGCACTGCTATAGAAATATACGTTCGTGTCTGTTGAAGCACCAGATACTGTAGCTCCTCCACCACCAAACACTACAGCCATTTGATTGACTGCCACCATACTCTGACCCCATCTTGCACTTGGTGAAGCAGCTGTTGGTGAGGCAGTAGCAGACTGACTCCACACATACGTACTGAGGTTCAACACCCACACATCGTTTAACGAAGCCGAGTTATCACCATTGACGGTAGTCTGCGTGCCACCAAACACGACCATACTGTTATTCAAAAGTGCACATGCTGGGAACCGTCGACCTGGTGGCATCGTGGATATTGGAGGACTGCTCCATGTCGACGTACTACTATCAAAAATCCACGTATCTGATAGTAAAGCACCATTAACATCATATCCAAAAGCGATTGCCATCCTAGTATCATCTAAAGCTATAGAACAGTGGCCATCGCGCGGATTCGGCAATGGACCATTCTGTGTTATGGTCTTGGTTGTCGAGGAACGTACATCCAAAGCAATCAAGTTTCCAATTTGAGTGCCTCCATTCTGCGATGTCCTACCACCAAATATATATAGCGTAGAGCTGTTTTGTAATAGTGTGGCGGTATGCAGAAACCTAGAACTAACGACCGGTGTCGCAGCTGTATACGACCATGTGACAGTTGCATCGTCATACGTGTATAATCCATGCGGAACTATCTGTGCTGTTGCGAGATTCAATCCACCATAACATATGATCTGGTTGGCAGTCGTAGAGTAAACACAGGCGTGTTCGTATATCGACGTTGGTCCGGTTCCTACAGTTGGGACATCGATTTGATCCAGAGTCGCATACCGTAGCTTTGAGAGAGTGTTTACTGCTCTGAATTGATCTATGAAAGAATAAAAGAAAGTTGAGCATCAGATTCACAAGAAACCCGAGCGATCTTGGCGAATGTTGCCACACTTACTATCAACACCCCCAATAAGAAACATGCCATCTTTACCAGCTACAGCAGCATGTTGCGCTCGGTTTGGAGTTATCGAGACAGATTCTGCGTATCGTAGGCCAAGTATCAACAACCAGAATGTTGTTGATGCCGATGTACCATACAACCGGGCCATTCAAGGGAGATGTGGAGCGGTAGATCTATGCGATAAACATGTTCTTAAAGGTTTAAACTACTTGAAACACTGACGCCTGTTCGTACTTTGTCCAAATGATAGAAACAAGGAAACTTGTAAGTGACAAAACCTGAATCAACAGTCCAAGTCAGCTTTCCTGATGCTATGAAGGTTAATACGATGCTTAAAACTACGATATGACAAGCTTGATCGTGCCAAGGAAGACCGTAAGGATGTCGTTGGAGGTCTTTTTTGCAAGCTCGTGAAAAGCGGACGAATGAGCACCCTAACAAACAAACGAGCGCACCAACGAGTGAACATCAGTTTTTAAAGTTGGCAAAAGGCGGCTATCGTACGAAACCTTTGATTTCGCGATTTCACGTTAAAATCGAAAAATGAACGTCTTCGCCCTGTGTTTCCCTCCAACAACTTTTGTAAACACCACTGTTAGAACATCTCACCAACTAACCCAACAACAATCTGTAAGAGAGAAATTTCATTCGTGGTATGCGACTATGTACACGTGCGAAAACAATTCAAAAGAAGGAGAGAAGAAGTCACACAGACATGGAAAACTGAAACCTCCATCTACAACGTACTATAAGACCAGAAATTATTTAGTTCAATACCACAGATCAAACATTCCTTCAAATTGTTAACTTACATGTTGCGAAATCCCGCTTCAAAGATTCCAAAGCAGTCTTAGAGTACTTGACTCCTTCCAATTTCTGCGTAGAGCTTCGTCCAGTGACTTGTCACCAACACGGCCCTTGCCATCAGCAAAGACCAGTCCATTCATATTGTACATATCCATTTGCACCAAGTCTTCGCCAGATAGTAGTGACGTGGCCTTATTACGGAGCTTGGAAGAAAACGTCTTGAGCGATGTGCCGATTTCGATTTTGAATGATATTATAATGGGCTCTCCTCCAGAGAAGGAGGAGCCTTCAACGTAGACCTTGACTTTTGCCTGTGAGAAGAAGGAAAGCTTGAATAAACTTGGGTGACAAGAGACAACGTCTCAAGGTATGTGGCTTACTTGATCTCCTTCCTCCTCCTTTGAGAAAGGGGCAGCTGAAGCCGATGCGGACTCAAACACAAAGAAGCCCGACTGAGAATGGGCTAGAGCTGGTACAGTTTTCCTTCGACTGGTGGTACTCCACGAAGAATCGAGAGCTAGCTTTATAGAGCTTGTTCGGGCTGGTAGCGAGCCTGCAGGTAGTGTCTTGGCTCTCCTGCCCGGGAGCGAGTTGCTACGTGCGAATGTTTGGCTGCTTATGTCGGGGGTGTTGGTTCGAGATGTAAGTGTTCGTTCCATGATACGAGAAGTTTGTGAGGGGTGAGACAGCGGCCGGTGGCTCACGACTGTAGAGAATCACTTATAAAATATGTCTGATCTAAACGACTGTACGTGTTTTAGAAAAGGTCGTCCAACGGGTGCTGCTCACTCAGTTCAAGATTGAAATATTTGGCGATTGCAGATAAAGAGACCAGACTGGAGACTGGCAACAAAGGGTGTAAACTTACAAGGCACTTAGCCCGTCGATATCCGTAAGATCACTCTTGTTTCAATTGTTTTCACTTCCGAGTTGTGCCAGAATGGTAACAGTTTCTGCTATAGCGACAACAGGACAAGGTATTAGACCGATGCAATCTAGCAGGCAAAGAAAAGGAGCATATTCTCGAGATGCCATAATACTAGATCCATTAAACGACAATGATGCTAAATTCAACGACAAGAAATCTCGTAAACGATGGTGGCAATCGCTAACATTGCAAATTACCATCGCAGTATTCCTGATCGCGTTATTCGGGCTATGGATGCTGGGAATATTAAATATGGACGTTGTAAATGGTATTGGAATACCTAAATGGAAGAAGGACGGTGTACGTGATGACACTGATTCGTATGATGAATGGGTCAAGAGGAGAAGAGGTATGCTATACTTGGTATATGGGTTTGATTGGATTTGATCTGTATTCTTGTGATTCGTTCTCATACGTATTCATTGTATTCACTTAGCATTACAATCTGATATACCTGTGGAAGCTACTCCATCACCAGATATCGTTGAACAAAGAGATCAATCAAGTCCAGCAATAGCCGTAGTAGTAGAAAAGCCATTAGTAGAAGAGCAGGAACCTCTGATAGAGGCTGTAATCGATGCTAGTCAGAACGACACTGTGGAACGATCACCCGATGACCTGGCAAACATATCGTCAGCAATCAGCAATAGCACACGGCATCGTAAACCGTCACATGCCAAAACCGTAAAAACCGGATACAACAAATTTCACGTCGACGAAACAGACGTGACATACGCTGTACGATGGAAGGTATTGCCTTCATCATCAGTATGGTGTCGAGGTAGCTCACGAGTCGATCGGATATGTCGATTCAGGAATGTATGCTACCATCCGAAACAAGAGTCATGGTTTATAGTAAAAACCGATAGAACTATAGAACAGAATGTGCCTGCTCAACGATACGTCGAAGGATTGATTGAGTTGACTACCATTGTCAACCATTCAGTGTTTTTCTGGACGTATGATGAAGCTAGTGCTGCTTCTCCGAATCTACGTAATGTCCGAGTACGATATGAGACGGATCCGCATTTCATGTTTGCAAGACTGCATCCGAAAAACATTATGCATCAATTGCATGATGATGTGTTGGGAATGTATTTCTTGCTTAAGGAATACGTAGGTGGTGGATCTGCACAGCGGGATATGCCATTTAGTCTTGACAGCCATCGTATCATGCTCCTAGACAATTATGGATTTACAGATACCTCTCGAGTGCTACAATACCTCGCCAACAAACCGCTCCGGTTTAAAGGATATCTCGATCACGAACCAGATGTAATCACATGCTTTAGAGATGCCACGATTGGAATAAGTAAAGTCGCTAACTGGTACCAGTATGGATTTACTGAACCACAAGGCAAAATAAGTAATAAGAATGTCAGTGGTCTCCATGTCCGTGAAGTCGCTGAATGGTATATAAAACGTATTGGACTTGCACTGCAATGGAATGAACCTGGTCCTGAAGCTGTGCCTGAAATGATGTATTCAAATCAGTCTCATAGTAAAAGTAATGCTGTGACTGCAGGATCACAGCCTCCGAATCTAGAAGTTGGTGGAGTGCCTGCTGATGCTCCTATACCGAATCCTAACGCACCTAATAGTAGCGATGTGGAACAGGATGCTGGACACTCCTCAAACACAACTGTAAATCTCTCAGCAAATAGTACTAATGACACTGACTCGCAACCAGACGTAATTATCATAGTATCAAGAACACTAAACCGTCTAATCCTAAACGAAAAAGAACTGGCCACCAGCCTATCACACGAATTCAAACTTGAAACTCACTTCTTGAGAATGGAGGAAATGACTTTTGAGGAACAAATCAAGCTGCTGAGACGAGCTCGGATAGTACTGGGAATGCATGGATCTGCATTGATTATGGCCATGTTTTGTAGGAGGGGGACTGTTGTCATTGAAATGTTTCCGTATGCTGTTCCTCCTGATGGGTATACGCCGTATCAGAGTATGTGTGGGCTGCCTGGTATGGATCTTGTGTATAGAGCTTGGGAGGTGAGTCTCGTGAAGCTCATAATTCCCTTTGGTGTTGCTGTTTTTTTGTCATAATGTTTGAGCGGACGATGCAAAAAACGCAAAAAATGGCTAATGGATTGAACCACCACTTCAGTATCTGACGCTTTTCATGCATTTGTGTAGAACAAGCACGAAGACGCTTCGGTCGCATACCCCAAACGACCACCACTATATGGTGGAATAGCACACCTCTCTCCCGACGAACAAGAAAAGATATCCTCAAACACCCGAGTCCCAACCCACATATGCTGCTCAGACCCATACTTTCTATACCGCATCTACCAAGACACTGTCGCAAACACCACCGAAATAATCCTTCAAGCACACGACGCTCTCCGCACATCTAAATCCCAGCCTGAATACCACCCAATACGACCTGAATTCTCCGAGCTGCTACCACCAGCTGTGAAAACCTTCAGATGCTTAAATCATACAAACCGTCCCGTTGGTGAATTATGGGCTGAGTGGGATTTGCCGTGGAATGGCGCGGTGGTTGAAAAGTGGAATATTCATGTGCAGAATAATAAGGGGGAGTATGTGTCGCAGGGTGCGAGTGTTGCTATACCGGGGTTTAGTAGTGGGGAGGAGGTCAAGTTCTGGGTTAGGCCTATTAGGGGGGAGTTTATGGGTGAGTATAGCAGGAAGGGGACTTGTGTTGTGTAAGAGAATTTGTGCGAGGGGCTACATAGTCAAGGACTAATAAGGAGGAGAAGGACACTACGAGAAAAGAGACTACAATTCTTATACCATTACCTAGTAATTTCGGATCACGACACGTGTATATAATATGATTGCATCTATAAATCTGAACTATAGGCATCTAGTTCTACAAAGCCCCGTCGTTATATACACGTGTTGACAACGTCTTGAAGTGATATCCACGAGAGGAGCTCGATTCACAGAGTTATTTTGGTCGCCTTCAAACACTGTGATAGTGTCGCCTTGCAGACAATCCAGTACTGACTATGGTAGTGGACAGCCTCTCCGTCTGAATTTGATATACACTAATTCGAAAACCGACGCCTCCCTTTTTCTTGTTGATAAAAGGACATGAGATTAGTTATATTTCACAGAATATTTTAAATCATTTGATATTTCAATATCGTGGCATGTATTCACCCGATACTGGCAGTTCTTGACATCCGACAGCGCCTGTGAACTACAAACTTATGAATACTTCATTATAACAATGTCAAACTTCCATTCTTGATCTATTATGTTTACAACGCCCATAAATGTACAGAATTGTCCTCAAAAGAGCAACTAGCTCCAACACTCTCATCACACTTCCAATCAACACCATACACGAACGATCCATGCTCCTTATACGCATCAGACGACACACCGACAGTCAAATCAGAGTTAATATCGACAAGAGTTACACCAGCATGCATACAAGCAGCCAGAAGCGTATACGAGTTCGTAGTGAGATTGAATTTCGGTTTGAGCTTCCAAACACCACCGCCCTCTAGCAAGATCTGGTCATATAAAGGTGAACTGGGTTTCCGTAGATCAAAGATACGTAAGTGCTCATCGTATGAGCCGGTGAATACTATGTGGGGGTGCGTTGATGGTGATGGATGGGGAAGGATGCAGGTTACGCCCATGTCATGGCTAGTTTGAGGAGATGAGTTAGAATTGCTCTGGACTGAAATTCAAAATGCCGTTGGAAGCCATCCCAATTCGATTGAGCCACCCACAAAGGAAAACACACCTCTTGTTCTTGAACGTCCTTTGACCAGACCTTAAATCCCATCCACAAAACATCTGATCATCACCACCCGAGTACACCATATTCTCTCCATCTCCAGATACACACCATGCTTCGTATTCATGAGCATATGTTTCCCAAAATGGATGTAAACCAGTACTATCCAAATTGAGTACCGATACACGACCATCAGAAATGGATGTATAGATGCGGCAGGTTATTGGTGTTGGTGGAATGTAGAGGGATAATATTAGGACATCCTCGGGTTCGTAATGTCCGGTATTCAACGTGATGGTCTACATCATATATTTGGTTATTAGTGGAGGTATTTTTGCTGCATCCTTCCATGTTGCCGAGCCTTTGTTTATCAATTCATGTACCTGTAGAGGATTAAAAGTGTAAAGTTCCGTAGCTCCTCGTGCGTTAGCTACCAGAAACTGTCGTGCGCTTGTTTCCGTTTTGATCCTACAGATATTGCGAGCATCAGACCACTTGTCGCACTAATTCGACCAGATTCGTCCAGCAGAAATACATTCCATTTGATATCCAGAGTCCCAGATGTAGTTAATTCAGCAGCCTTGGTTCTAACAACAAGATTGTAAGAAAAGCGTCTGATGTCGCCAACCATTCCAAATAATAAGTGCAATCAACGCAATATACGCTTACAGCGATCTAGCTTCCGAATCATATTTAAACATAGTCACCGCTCCTTCTCTCGGTCCATTCTCTGATGAGATCTGTTCTGACTTGTCTGAAACTTGATAACTTGCTACTGCCAAATAATCTCCATGTTCAGCATCAGGGCAGAATTCGACTGCATCCGTGTGCTTGTCTAGTCTTATTTTCACTAGTGGCTTCATGGCTTACTAGCTATTTGTGTTTGCGTCGGTGTGCTGAAGTGTTTCCAAACATCATAAGCAAGTCAGGAGTAATTTGGTAATTTGGACGCTTGAAGTCCCAAATGACGCTGAAAACGCTGCCGACGGGTCAGAATAGAACGAGAACTCAATATCACACAACTACGACTCATTCCAAATCATCACAATCAGTTAAATTTCTCTTTTTTAAATCATTCAAGACATTGTTTTTAAGAAACAGAGCGAAACAGTCCGTCTTAAAGGTTTGCTGGGACATTGGCAGCACCAAAACCTTTAGCAGCATCAAGCAATGAACCTCCCTTTGACTTGACTGTGTTTACTTCAGCCATGGTGATGGGTCGATGTTCAACAGCTGGGTTGAAGCCGTGTCTAAATATGAACATGTAAGTTGTTGCAAAAAAAAACCGAGCAATAATGCTGAGTAATACCTAACACGAGGATCTGTCCATCCAGCAGTTGATGCATTGGGGAATGCCTTTCGGTAAACACCGACAACTACAGCACCACCAAGACCAACATTGTGTTGTAACGCGATCTTGACGTTTTCGACTTGCCTCTTGCCGGCCCAGCCTCGTAATTGCTATACAGGCAAAAAAAACGATAAGTCGCATGATCCAGAACATTTCGAATATTGAACGACTATCATACCCAGGTCAATTCAGTGCATTGGGCTAAACCGGTGGCACCTATAAAGTCATATCAAAGTTCAGCGGTGCTCTCTCTGATCGAACTGATCGAACAGGTCATATCCAGTGTAAAGCTTACCAAGAGGATGTCCCTATTGATGATTGTGTGAACGCTGTTAGCAAAAAAATTGGATAGCGCTGACCCAGAGGACATTTACCTTTGAAATCAAACCACCAGACAGGTTAACTGGAGTTCGTCGAGCTGGTTTTGCTCCAGCTGGAGCAAAGCTTGGGTGGTATGGAGCACCAGAAGCCAACCATTCACCAGCATGTCCTGGCTCACACAATCCAAGAGCATCATAGGTGATGAGCTCGTTTGATGAGAAGCAGTCTGTGGTTTCAGATGTTCAGATTTGAGCTTGAAACATTACGACAGACACCATTATTTTTTTGACATCTCTTGCAGGTAAACTTACCATGTAATTCACAAACATCGACATCCTTGGGAGTGATCTTGGCCAACTTGTATGCTTCAGAGGCAGCCTTCTTGGTCATATCACCACCAGCAATTCCGATAGCTGATTTGGGGCTTCCGGCGACAGCGAATGAACGGACTATGTCATTCAAGATTGCGTGTCAGAATCAAACCGCAACTATCAACATATGGTTCTATTCTTACTAGAGTCAGTAGCCATAACTTGAGCCATGATTTCAATTGCTTGAGGTTCGAGGTGGTGCTTCTTGACAAAGTCTTCTGATGCGACAATGACACATCCAGCACCGTCTGAGGTTGGTGAGCAGTGCAACAAGGTCAAGGGACCGTAGATGGTACGTGCGTCATGTACTTGTTCAAGTGTGTACAGGTCTTTGAATTGAGAGTATCTGTGTTTTGAGTGAGGGTTTGAATAAGTGGCCAATAAACCTCCACATGAGTAGCAATAATGGAAACTTACGGGTTCAGAGTCCTAAAATACGACATATGATGTAGGTGAGATTCCACAAACATCAAGGAAGAAACTAGTGCAGGTACTTACGAGTGAGCGTGATTCTTTTGAGCAATCATATCCAAATGATGGTTGTTGTTGAATTGTGGGTGGTTGTTGATGTATTCAGTAGATGCAGCAGCGAAAATCTGAGGGTTTCGTGGAGCGTTGGTCATAGGTTGAAGTTCGTTCAAGATGGGCATAGCGAAACCCAAACTGGAAGTTCTGTCATTGTAGTTTCCGACCAATGATCCGGACTTCATTTGCTCTTTGGAATAGTTTTTTGGTAGTTAGGAGGGAAAAAACCAAGCGACTGATGATGAACGGTCACTAACCGAAACCAAGAGCCAAAGCACACTCGACGGCACCAGTAGCGACGGCCTGTCTTGCAAAGAACAAGGCAGTTGAACCAGTGGAACAGGCGTTGATGACGTTTATAATTGGGATTTGAGTCAATCCCAATTGGTAGAGACATCTTTGACCGGCTGTAGAGTCGGCAGCAGTGTAACCAACGGTAGCAGTTTCGACTTCATCGCTATAAGAAGTCAAATGAATCAACACTTATTCTCTATTTTGCACGACTGGAGTCATGGGAAACTTGTTTGACCCAATCTACGCACTAGTTGATTCCAGCATCGATGAGAGCTCGGGTAGCAGCTTCCAATGTGTGTTCGGCGTATCCGAAATCTGAGAGGAAAGTTGGGTAAGTTGAGCTACTAGTAGATTTCAAACAATGGGTTCGACGTCATCCAAGTTGTTTTGGTTTAAACGTCTGGGCTCCAAGGTTGCAGGGAGCTTGCATGCTCTTCAGATACTTATACTCAATACGACATTCACCTTTTCTACGTCCAGGCTTCTCGAATGCCGACATTCCAACACCAATGATGTAAACCTTGCGAGGGTCTCGTGCAGACGACATGATGGACTAGGAGAGTGGGAATTGTGAGCGCAATTGGTCATTGCAAACTGCTCATGGGAGGAAACCATGGTCTGTAAAATGGAAGTTGCGAGTAAACTTGGTCAAGCCTGTTCTGCGAGTGTATGCAACAAACGACAAGGTGCACGCGAGAGCTACGAGGCCTACAGCAAAATTCAAGTCAGCTGGTCCTACACATACCTTTCTTTTGCTCTTTACGTTTTAGAATGGGAAAGCTGTCGTTGATGTTTCGAACGTGGGAGTGGTACAGGTCGAAAACCATTGACGTCACGAAGCTCAACAACGAGTCTGGCGTTTTGAAGATAAAACGTAGTTGGGACGTGTAAGATTTATTGTAGAATGAATTTATTTCATTACATTTCAATCCATGACGATACGCGTTACTTTCGTGCCTTTGAAGGTGTTGGAGTTTGCGTATTCTTCATTCGCTGTCCAATCTGATTGTTTTCGACAACTCGAAACTTGTAGACCAGTAGCCTGTTTTGTACTTATCTGTGCGACCAATAACTCAATCGTATCTACTTCTGCGCGGTATACATCTACCGGGAACGCTGTTTTCTCGCCGTTTGAATACGCAACTTAACATTTGTTACTACAATAGAGCCAGTACCTGGAAAGTAAAGCATCATGAAGCACTCCTATGGCTTCTACCGTGCCAGGTTCTGTAGCACGATACTCGTCTTTCACCTCAAATCCATCCCATCCGGCTTCCTAAACGAGATATGGCTTACAATCTGCTCATTGCTGGGGCTGAAAGACCTTTGAAGTTTCGGACTGGTGTCGGAAGACCTGAATGACCTGTCTTGTGTCTCCCTGTAGGGTACGACTCTTAGGACAGAGAATGGAACCTCGTCTTTTCGGCAATTGATCCTTGATACTCCAGCTTGGATGATCCAGAGGATATTCCTTACGAATAAGAGTACGACAATATCACAAAATCCTGCGAGAACTTGACCCAACTCTCTATTTTCCATAAATCATTATATCAACAGTTCGTGTTGCATGTAATCAACTCACTCCCCGAGCTCGAAAAGCTGGTGTTTACTCCTGCAGAGGACTTCATGAGGCCTCCTGAAGAGTATTAAAAAGCTTCTGCAGACTGGCTACTGACACTAGCTCAACTCGTCAGAACATCCGGTGTACATTGTACTGTAGAGCTGGATATTCAGACGCTACCGATACACATCCATTTTCGCCGAAATAGTGTGCTTGTCAGACAAGCACTGGCACTGAAGTATAGGCATGAGTCGGACGTTATACATATAGAGTAGATGGAAAGGACCCACGTCATGTACTCCTAAAGAAAGCTCTGCTTGATGCCATCAAAGGGGCGGTGATTGTTGGATTTGTTGGTGCTTGATTCGGTTACGGTTGTTTTGGTTGACGGACCCGAAGAAGCATTTCTTGGATGAGCTTATAATGTAAGTGGTTTTGGTTTAGGTCAACCAACCAGTGACACGGGTCTGAATTGGCCATTCATGCTAATTAAATCATTTTCCGTGATTAAATTACTCAAACCAAGCCAAACTTTGGTACATGTGTCTAGTGCGGTTTCCTAGCTAGTCACTATATATAGATTCACGTGTGTAAGCGCACATAGTAGCAACCCAAGCATTCTTGTGGCCAATTTGTGCTATTCCCCCATTTGATGGAGTTCAATCGCGATCCCTGGCCATTCCATTTGTATGCGAGCTCTTCTGCCACTTTTACCCAAGACCACGTTCTTTCTAAAACACCACGATAAGCATGATGAGAGTACCTTTGAATGAGTCCGTCGAGATCAAAGTGACAAGATCTATCCTAACGGATTAGGCGCAAGTAAGTGATCGCATAGAACTTTAGATTGAAATTAAACCATTTTCATTTTCAATTGAAACAGCAAAAACACCACAAATTGAACATCCCGATTGATAAATTTGTCAATTTTTAGATGGTGGAAGGAATCCATGTTGTGAAGGACACTACGAGAAGCAAGGTCCGCTTTGGAAGTCCAGCAGCGCAGTAGTTTGTCACCAATCACAACCGTTTTGAGGGAACAAGGACATCATCCAAAACCGGCAACAACATAGAATGTCGTCTTCAAAAGGACGGAAGGTGGGACCTACACCATCACAATTACTTTCATCGGCTCTTCAATCCCGAGCAGGAAACATGGATGAAACACCAGATTTGACATCCCCAAACTTGGACGCGTCCTTGACCGATTTGCCATCACCAACACCCAACGACTTGCCTACATTATCTTCAGCAAACCAAGCCATGAAATTGAATCAACGACAGGTGCAAGCTCTTGCCATACAATTACAACAACGCGCAGCTTTACAACAAGCACAGGAGAAAATGGGTTCACCTTCATCATTATTGGCATCATCGCCGGTGGTGCAACCTACTGGTGTTAGGAGAGTACCTCCTTCAGCTGCTGTTGCCACCATGAGTCCTGCTCCAGTGTTTAGTGGAGAGGCAGTCAAGAGGTCTCGCTCAAAAGAAGATTTGGCTAGGATGGTTGATGCATCGAGACACTCTGTACCTCCTTCCGTTCCGCCACGAACGAATACACCAGCACCAGGTGATGCACCATCATCAGCTAGTGCTGTGGAGGATGCTAACAACCACAACAAAAACTCTTCAGCCAAATCATCAGAGACAAAATTGCTACAATCTATTATACGAAACAAGGTTAATACCAGTAATACCGACTTGACTTCCTCGTCGTATGGATCAGATTCGAATCCAGGAGTGGGATCACAGCAAAACTCATACACCGACCTTCCATTATTGGGATCACCAGCTGTCAGCACTCCATTAACCAAAGGCATCGAATCTCTAATCGATATTAAACGTGGACCACCAAAACGTGTCGACAGTCTCAGTCGTTCCAAACCCGAAAAGCAGGCCTCAGTCATGTCAACCACTTCAGCAACCACAAAAGAAGAAAAGAAAATGTCTCGTGCCATGACACGACATCGAACCCTCATGCGTAAAAAAATTGTACGTCTCACAGCAGCAGGACACTTGGCATTCGAAGTACCGGTACCTGATCGATACCTCGAGAACTGTAAATACACTGAAGCTCGTGAATTTACGTTTTTGAGGTATACTGCTGTCGCTCATGACCCTGATGAAGTCGGACGTCCCAAGATGGGGTACGAAGTACGTCAGAATATGATGAAACGAGATACTGAATTGGCTGTGTGTGTCACGATGTATAACGAGGATGAGATACTTTTCGCAAAGACTCTGACGGCCATTATGAAGAATGTTGCTTACATGTGCTCTAAAAAGTGTTATCGAAGCTGGGGTGATGAGGGATGGAAGCATGCTGTTGTGGTTATTGTGTCGGATGGTCGTAAAAAGATTCATAAACGAGTGCTTGCTATGCTTGGTCTTATGGGTCTGTATCAAGTAAGTCGAATTCAAGCCCTGGAAGCCCTGGTTTTTGCTCATGATTCAGCAAATGAGATTGACTGACTCGACTATTGCTCAGGACTTGTGTCGAACTACCGTCGACGGTAAACCAACAACAGCCCATTGGTTTGAACTCACTACTCAAGTAGCCGTCGACAAGGACATGAGCATTCGCGGCTGCAAAGATGGATTTGTGCCGGTGCAAGTCTTGTTCTGTCTGAAGGAACACAATGCCAAAAAGCTCAACTCGCATCGTTGGTTCTTTAACGGAATATGTCCATTACTGAAACCAAATGTTTGTGCTCTTATCGATGTGGGCACTAAGCCTACTCCACAGTCGTTTTATCATTTGTGGCGTGGTAAGTTGGGTTTGGAGTTTGATGAGTTTCGAATGGGCATTGAATTTGTTCTTGGCTTCATTAATAGCTTTCGATCGCAACAAGCATGTTGGTGGAGCATGGTATGTCTCGCAAACAATTATCTTCATATTGATTTCCTTTTTTTTGCTCAGAACCTCATAAATCACTTTCTATATAGTGGTGAGATTTGTGTCGAAAGTACTCATGCTTTCAGTATGTTGAATCCATTAGTGGCTAGTCAGGTGTGTTCTCGATCGTGTTTCTCTGATCTTTGGTGCAAGCTAACCCATGCTTTTTTGCCTGTAGAACTTTGAGTACAAGTACGTCTTTCTTCTCTGTTCCTTGAAAGTGTCCTTGAATAACATACTAACAATAACACCATCTCAGAATGTCAAACATCCTAGATAAACCTCTTGAATCCGTCTTGGGATACATTCAAGTGCTTCCTGGGTAAGAGCTCTGCACCAAACCAAAGGCAAAAACACTTCCGACTAATTTCTGAATGACACTCGATTACTATAGTGCATTCTCCGCTTACCGATACGAAGCAGTCCAAAACTCGACTCCAACCTCAGGTCCATTGGTGGAATACTTCAAGGGAGAAACACTGCATAACAGTGCTGATTTTGATGTGTCGTCTGCAAACAAGTAAGCGGAGTAAAGAAAGAAACAGTACGCATGTCACTCGATATTGACAAGGCAATGTTGTTTAGGTACTTGGCAGAAGATCGAATCTTGTGTTTCGAAGTAGTCACAAAATTGAACTCAGCATGGACTTTGAAATATGTAAAGGCTGCTCGAGCCGAGACTGATGTACCTAGTGCTCTGCCGGGTACACAATAGCACAATATTTTACATTGTTGTTTTGCGGTCTATATGATTCTCATTTTTCTCTCTCTTTATTACAGAGCTGGTTTCACAACGACGACGTTGGTTGAATGGTTCTTTGTTTGCTTTGATTCACGCAATTTCTCATTTCGATGTAAGTGCCAAAGAAGATATGAGTGTTCAAGCATCATCCATTGTCAACTCATACGCATGTTTTCCATACCCCGCTTAGTTATTCTTCCGTTCTTCACACCCTATATACCGAAAGGCTCTCTTCATGTTCTTGACACTTTACAATATCGTTAACTTGATCTTCACCTGGTTCTCTATCGTAAGTTAAAAAAACGGATTACAATCGAAGAGTCTCGAGAACTCAATGCCGACACCTTCGTCCCTCTCTATGCCAGGGAAACTTCTACCTTACATTCTTTTTCCTCTCCCAAATCTGCTCCAAGCCTGCATCAGACCCCTTCCGCGGTGGCGGACCACTAGTCCTCCTCCTCATGAAACAACTCTACGCATCAGCCTTCCTCATAATCCTCATTTCATCATTCGGAAACCGCCCACAAGGAAGCAAAATGTTTTATTATTCGGTGGTCTATCTGTTTGGACTGGTGATGGTCTTCACCATCTTTATTGGGTTCCTGAGTGTTTTTGCGTACATACCACAAATGAATTCGGCTGCTGATATCTTGACGCTGTTGAGTACGAGTGATGTGTTTAGAGGGGTTGTTATATCTGTTTCTGCGTAAGCTGCTTGTTGTGTGAATATCAGAACTCATATAAGCCCTTTACTAAGATCCTTTTTTTGCTCTTGTCTAGTACTTATGGAATGTATCTGGTAAGCACGAGACTCAGTGAATCGTACGTTATCGGATGACGTTGCTGATGCTTGTATTTCTTTTACCAATCTTGCAGATCAGTTCGCTTATATACTTGGATTTCTGGCACATGATTACCTCTTGTATTCCATGTGAGCAATATTAAGATTTGCCATACAGTTTTTTTCTAGTAGCGATGTATCTCAAATTACGACTTTCTTCATTTTAGACATGGTGATGCTTCCTACATACGTCAACATGTTTATGGTCTACGCATTATGTAACTTGCATGATGTCTCGTGGGGTACCAAAGGTAAGATGCTCGTTGTCATATGGACGCCAAAAAACCCATAGCTAACTCTATACAAATACCTCAGGTGACAATGTCGTCAAATCAAACGTGGAACCAATCAAACAAGACACCATAGTCCGTGAAAAACGAGAAGAACTCGAAGTAGTCATTCCCGATGACGATCGAGAAAACTTGAACACCATGTACAATGACTTGCTTGAATCACTCAAGGTCGCTCCACCACCAGAAAAACAGGTTGTGGATAACAAGACCAAGAGAGACGATTATTTCAAGCTGTTTAGGACTCGAGTTGTTGCTAGTTGGCTGCTGTCTAATGGATTGTTGATCACTATTTTTACTACTGTGAGTTTGTTGTGTTGGCGTTGCGAACCATCCATACGGAAAAAGGACTTTTTTTTGCTAAACAACTTCTTCTCCAAACCATACAGGATTCAATCACATCCCTCCTCTTCCCAGCATATCAAATCTCACCGTACTTGATCCTCCTCTTCTGGGCAGTTACTGGTCTTGCTGCCGTACGATTTACTGGTGCGATGATCTTTGTGTTTTTCGAATACTTGTCGAATTTCGTGGATGCTGTGCTTCCTATTCGACAATTCCAAGGACCCAAGCCACGTCGAGCGTGATTTTTGTGATCACCACTTAGAAAAAACTATATTCAAGATCGGTCTTGAACCCAAGGGAGGTCTTGTACTATCATCTTTATTACCTATTAAAAATAAATACATGCCATTTTTCTCTTAATGACATTGTTGTGTGTCTGTGTCTTTGATGGAACAGTGTAGCTGATTGGATTCCGCTCGTGAGGAGAGTTCCATGCCAGTAACAAGTACAAGCTACTCGGGCTGGTACCCATCTCTGTGGGTTTTCGAGAACATTGTGTATTGTGTGTATTCTGTTCCTCCTATTCGACAATACCCACGAATCAGAAAAGTTAAGCGTGACAACCAGCAAAATATAAGTGACGGATGACTGCCTCTATTTATCATCATTAAAACTAAATACATGCATTTCTCTACTAAAGTGGTATGTCTGAGTGTGTGTGATATGCAAGCAGCGTGTACAGCGTGTATGCTACGAATCTCTATCCTATCCTCCTATCGTTTTGTACGAGGTATTGCCGACTCGATATTATCAAACATGGTCATTTGTCGTGAAGACTTTAGATTCTCTGCCTTCCTACAAAAACCAATACAGAAAGTCAGCATACCACCACCAACAAAAAAACCTGCACCAGTAGCAACCCATACTCTTGATTCTTCAAAGTCATATACGCATTCGTAGCAGCCAACGCATCCTCCTCCTCCTTAATAGTAATAGCCGTCCAAGGTCTACCGCCAGACCGATCCGTCTTGTCCGATCCTGGTGTTCTCCAAGCAGCTTCTATTTTAATAGCCCGTTTCTGCTGTGCGTGGACGTCTTCCTTTGCTCGCCGGCTGTAGAAGAGACGGAGGGCTTCCTTGTATGCTTCAGCTCGGGGCATTGGTGATTTGGGGTGGGACATGAGGTATAGGGCGTGGCGAATCACACTAGGTTGAGAGATGTGTGAGTCTGTTGCAGGAGACCCCATGTTGTTTTGCGTCAACCAAAACACTCAAAAGCAAGCAAGCTTCTTTCTACTCTACCTTTCACCAGACAGTTCCGGACTTGTATCCAACTCCACATCCTTTACAATCTCCTCCTCCATGGTACTTGGATCCTCCAACATGATCCTCGGCCTTGACAGCTCAAACGGATGCCCTACATAAAAGTCCTTTCGTAGCTCGTCTTCCGGATACTCTATAGCTGGCGGCGTGTAATAGTACCGTGGAGCTCTGGTATTTGTTTTAATGACAGTTCTGTGGTCTTTTTTGGTATAATTGCGATGTGGGATTTTGCGATGAGCGAGAGATGCATCGCGTAGGAGAGTGTGTTGAAGTGATTCAATGAATTGGCCGACTTCTTTGGGGACGACGCCGCGTGGGTGGTAAGGGGCAGGAGGATGCATCTTGATTGCCGATTGCCATGCTGGAGTTGATACTTGTGAAGAAGATGGCGGATGCTGCATTCTGGTATGGTTGTCGCGGATGGTGAATGGATTGTACTTTGGTTTGGGGATATAGCGGCTCATCCTGGCTGTAATAGATGTACTATGTTGAGCTGCTATGTATGTTTTGGTTGATCAAAAGGAAAGCGTTGCAAGCTTAAGAGCACTTCATATTACATAAGATATGCGGTGGAATCAATAAGATAGCATACATTTGACGCGTTATAACACGTAATAGTGGATCGACCGAGCCAGTTTGTTGATGTTTGTATGCTTCTTCGCTTTCTGTGTCGCTTTCCAACTCGCCAACACAATCCCATCAAATTACGGAGAATCACACTGACGAGGGAATCAAGGTAAGTATACAGCTCATAGCAAGAACAACCTTATCCATGCCATCTACCATACTAATGGATACCACTCTCCTCTGCTAGCTCCCTGCACAAAACATGGTTCCACCCACTGCCAATAGAAGCACTTCTCGTCCACACGATAAACCTGTTAGAAGACGCACCCATATAGCTCTCAAGGGCATCTTCCCAAAGAGAGCCCAGAAGGCATGTGTCCCTCCGGACGGCCTGGGCGTCGTGGAACAAGTATTCTACAAGATAAAACCGGGCAAGCCTCAGGTCATCATGGGCGCTGCTATCAGACTCAGATGTCCCGCTCTCATACCTAGACTCGCGCCTGACCGTATACTCGATCTCATCAAGATTGCCGCTAGTCAGCACTTTCGCTTGTGCATGTCGATAGATCCAGAGGTATGAATGAAGTGCAGAGGCTCGTGTGTTGCTGTAGTGTATGCGGCTGGTAGTTCTACCATGATATGTGGCACTTATACACGCCAGCATCATGATTCAACATGTCTTGGCACTGATACTCCTTGCTACCTTGCGAAACCATCATCAACTTAAACGGCTCAAGTCACACACAAACTAACTACCAAATATTCAATCTATAGACTTTGAGAGCAGTACATTTAGCTGATACGGCCGCCGATATACCCGTAATATATAGAGTAGTCGACAGAGATTCAAACACGACATGGCAAGATGTCGTCCTCCAGGACATCAACACAAACTTTGACTTGAGCGACAAGACAAAGCCATTATGGAGAGTCTCTATTGTAGTACCCAAAGAGAGAGATTATACTCAATATGTACCATCGCAGCATCGTGAATCTCCCGAATCGAGAGCTGAAAGTGGCGTGACGGATGCCACGCATATCCCGCCGTTGACTACTGTATATCTACCACCACATGATCCAAACGCAGCTGCTACCATGCTACCACCACCACCAGGCTCGACTGGAAATGCATCATCGGTAGCTGGATCGGATATAACTGGTGACGCTCCAACCGTAGTAAATAATCCTAGTAAAGAGGTCGTTTTCGATGGTATAGAAATGAGTGAAATCAAAAAGCAGCAGGCGCACGCTAGTGCTTCAAACAATAAAGTACCTGAAATAGCAGCTGCTGATGGTACAGCAACAGCAGGAACATCACCACCATCTCACGAACCTGGTGCTAGTAGTAGTGGCAGAAGACGAGGCTTGTCTCGACCAGAACTACCTCATTCGCTAAGTAGATTCTTTAGTGTTCCTCATGGATTGACGCTCCCACATATCCCAACTCGACCAATGGGCACTCGAGAATGGACTGTCGGTAATTGGAAGGTGGAATGGCCTGAAGGTCACCCCTTCCCCAGACTAGTTAGAATAAACGCTGAAGGTGAAAAGCAAGCACCAACAGAACCTGAACCACCTGCTGACGGTGAATCATTCGAAATGTTATTTACCTTCAACCATGTATTGGGTGATGGATTATCCATGTGGGCATTCATGAGGACATTCTTTGATTATGCTACTCCTGAACGTCTATCGCCTGGAGTACATATAGATCTGACAGACTTCCCATGTGTCAAGACGCCACCTCCATTGATCGATAACTTGTTGCGGCCAAATGTAATTGAAATCACTCCTATATTATTGGGTATGTTTAGACGATTCATCACTCGACGTGGTGTTCGTCGATTCAAGGGACGTACTAAATCGAATCTGACTGCTACTGCATTGGTTACCAACTTGGGTAAAATCAATGGACATATCGGTAGAAAGATGCTTGAAAAGACCGAGAATGGGAAGAAGGCAGGTGCAGCTGTAGATCCACTAGATGAGAAACCAGAGTATCAAAACACAAACCCGAATCTCGACGGCCATGATAATACCACCATTAATAATAACAATAATAATAGTCCCACCCAAGCACAGGCCAAAGCAGCTAGCACAGATGCCATAGTAGAAGAACCCGATGATCGTATCTCGCTAGGACCAGAATTAGCTTCTCCTCTCGATCCTTTCGGTCCACCAGCAGATCCAATCCACTTTATACATCCTAGTAGCGGTAAAACACGAGCACGATTCCTCATGCTAGATCACGACTTTACTGAAGCTATACGTAAAAAATGTAATGCTGAAAAGACGACGGTAGCAGCTGCAGTAGTAGTAGCTGCCATGGCAGCAGTCCGAACGCTGTCTGAGTCCATGCCAGGATATACAGGTGGTAAAAAACGACTGCCAAATCGACAAGGATGGGTTGTAACATCGTCAGTACGCCATCTCTTGCCAAATCACACGTCATTATATGGTGGTGAACGCATGGACGATCCATCACTTAAAGTATTTGGAGGCTACGGCGGATCTATATTCAACAACAATCTCCGATTTGTCGACGACCACGACTTTTGGGAACGATGTCGCCGAGTAAAACGCGACATTCGCCTCTCATACCGCACATCCATAATGCGAATGAAGCTAGTCAATTGGTGCTACCGCCACCCCACGCTCTGGGAATGGGTCAACAAACGAGCCAACCTGTCTAAACTATCTCGAGCATACTCTGTCGAACTAGCCAATCTGGGCGCATGGGATGCACCATGTGCGCTACCAGGAGCAGGCGAATCTGATCCCCGCTTACGTCTCGATGGATTCTCCGGGATATTGAACTCGTCGTTTGATGGTGTGCGGGGCCTGTTTTGTGTTGGTACGATGAGCATGTCTGGAGCCATGAGTATCACTGTTGCGTATGATATGGGCGCCGTGCTGGAGCAGGATGCGGATTTGTTTGTGAGTGTGCTGCTCGGGTGTTTGCAGAGGAGTGTGAAATATGGAAAGCTGAGTGTGCTTAAGGCGCGGACGGAGGATGGGACTATTCCGAGGCCCAAGGTTGTGGATGGGCATGTGTTTGTTGAGATGGATGGTGCTGGGGGTGGGGAGATGGTTGAGAAGGGAAAGGAGAAGGCTGGGAAGTAGGAGATGTAGTAGGGTGTTTGAAGAAGGATGGTGCTTGCTGTTGTGTAAAAAATGATTTTAGAAGGCAGTTTTTTAAAGGGAAAATACCTCAAATATAAATCAATGAGATAAGTAAAGAGCAAACGCGTGGCACTCAAGTGATGAATTCAGGTTGACCTGCAGATTGAGTTTCTTGGGATTGCATGGGTTTAATGTGCGAAAAGTCTTAGAGCTAGGAACATGGTTTGAAGCTGATCTGGAGCGGATACGACTAGTTCTCACGTACGACATGATGCGATACAGCTCTAAACGCATGGTGAGTTGCTTTGCGTACTCTGTATTGTAAGTGACACTGTTTCAAGTTTTGTATAGCTTGATGTTGGCGTTTTCTCAGTAGTTTGGAGGAAGCTTGAACGTATATTGACGCCTAAAGTAATGGATTATGTGGTTTGGAGGTTACTGGTGGATGTGTCTCTGACGCCTACATCTTTCTTATATATAATGAATCACTACCAGTACAATAAAAGCAACATATGTAAAGCAGTAGACTGACAAAGCAATAAAAGGGCAGATCTGTCATGCTGTACTTATCTTATTGTGTGGATCGACGCCTTTAGGGAGTGTCACTTGGTTGTTAGTTGATGCACAGAGAGAGAGCCCGACTGGCACGACGTGGCGTCTTGAATCTTGATGACAGCAACAGAGAAGAGAGTCGTTTGGATGGAGGCACGCTATAGTATTACAGTGCTTGTACAAATCCATCGAATGTTTTAGTTTAAGCTAATTGCATCGAGAGCAAAGAGCAAGTACTCCATACAAATGTGGAAGAACGCACGGATCCGATCCTGGGCAAACTCGTTCTTATTGTCACTCGCAAGAGAAATCTTTGGTACGCATGTGCGAAGTGTGTTTGAAAATCAATGCTATACGAGAAACGCGATTCCCGCTCAGCAGCTCGTGATTTACTGCTATTCACGTTCGAATACGTGTATCAAACGTCAAACACATCTCTGTTTCCTCTCGTAACGAACTACTCGACACTTGCGTCCTTCAACATCTCCAACCAATCCTTCCACGTTCCAACAACTCCAACCAACCCAGACCAAACTTTTCACAATCAGGTCAATATTTCTTCATATAAACATACAAAGAGCCTTACACAGAAACCCCCTGTACAAGCATCTGCTTAATCAAATTACTCATAAAGTGCTCTGCAAACGAGGTCAAATAAAACTCATGATCCGAATCATGTCCATGTGCAAAGTTGTGTGCTAGCTCGTGAGCGAATACCAAGAACCTACCAACACAAACCGTCAGCACGTTCACCAAAAGGAAACCGTTTACTCAACATACCAGTAATAATACGTCTCTGCAGCATCCGGCACATCCTCATCCCTACCACCAAAACCACCAGGGATCCTCGCAACACCATTCCCCTTCACAAGCGGATAATGCAACCCCAAGTAATACCGTACATTGAAAAACAAGGACCGGCCACGATTAAACGCGATCGTCGTCCCATCCACATCAACATATATACTACATGCTCGTAAGTCCAATGAATACACTTGTGCCAACACCTTAATGAGCTTCACAAATCGTTGAATACCAGCCATATTGGTCACGGATTCATCCGTAGCAGCTACACGTCGATCCCGATAGAATGAGAGGCCGTCTACGCTGTTGATCATTATCATGTCGTTCTCGGCAATCACGCGACATACAGGTGATTGATTGCTGGGGATTGCGGGAGGGTCTGATGGCACTGTTGCTGAAAATGTGGAGTCTTTGGTTGATTTCAGGGTTTGGATGCTACGTGATAGCGAGTTACGGATTTGAGAGGTTTGGGATGGATCTATTGGTGGTTTGGTGCCTTGTTCGTCGTTGGCTGAGCGTATGCTTTGTGTGGTCGATAGTTGGTTGTTTGATGATGTGGCTGATGGGGGTGCAGGAGACGACAATCCACCATTGCTATTACTACTACTGGGACCACCGCCAAACACCGTACTCCTCATATTCTCAGCAAACCGATTTATGACTCCAAAAAAGTCGTCTGTTGCAGCATCCTTTTCTGGCGTTGGTGGATTATTACGTGCCACCACACCATTCTGTGAATCACCATTAGCTTGCTGCGCTGTAAGCGCTGCGGGTGGTATAGGCGGTACAGGTTTACTCCTGTTGATTGGATTACTGGCTCGTGGATAGCCTTGATCCAACATACGATTGCTGACATTGGTCACGACGTCCTTGCCACTCTTTTCGGCTTCGACAGCGCGCCGAACAACCTAAAATTGTTGGGCGAAAGTATGAGACTTTAGGTGGAATTCAGCGAAGTGGCAAAAAAATCGGTTGTTTGACAATAATGAATGCAATTCAAGCTCACCTCAGAATCAGCATCAGGAAACATTCCCAGCAACTGCCTAACATAGCTTCGAACCTGTGGCGTAGCATCAGGCATATCCGGCATACCAACAGCCTCTTTGCTACTACTTTCTGTACTAACGGCAGCAGGACTTGATGGTGGAGGCGTATCCGGTATGGTAGCAGCATTCTTGATCTTTTGCGATGAGATATTTAAGATGCGGTCTATTGGGAAACCTTTTCTTTTCAGGTTTACGAGGGACGTTGAGAGGAGGGTGCTATATGTGAAGTAAGCAGAAAGAATCAGTTGGAAGATTCATTTGACGACAGTGCCAGGCGGTTTTTTTGTCGTCACGCTCTACTTCAAGTCCAACAAAACGCTAAATCAACCCAACAAACCTCAGCAACAGCGTATCATTCAACCTCGGATGCCTAAACACAACCCTCCCAAGCGCCTGAGCAACATCAAAGAAATCATACTCCCCAGCCACAAACACATAATTCTGGCGACTGCGTTCATCAACAAGCAAACAAGATGTCGTATTCTGACGATTCTTGTTGCCCTTGAAAGTTCGTACGATTTCGATTTCTTTGACTTCGATTACCATAATGTCTTTGAGGAGAGATTCGGCATTGTTGACGACTTCTTTGACGGTTCGCATGCGGTGGCCATCGTATAAGAGGAGAGGTGCTCGTTGGCGGATTAGTTTTTGGAGGTCTTTGGACTTGTCGGTCTCCATGTGGTTGTTGCGTGGGACGCTCCATGATTGCTGGACCTAGTGAGATTTGTTGCGAAAAGAGGTGGGTGTTGGAGTGTCTAAGTGAGTAGCAAAATGGGGAACATTCAAGATGCTGCATTACCTGTGGAGATAGCCAAGATGACCCCAACTGCTCATAAAAGTTCTCAAGCAGTGGCTCCAAAATACAACTACCAAATAGTGTATTAGCCCCGTTCACTCTTCTCCTACATCACCATCAACATTTTCAACACATACCTCAACGGCTGGAAAATCTGCTGCAATATCGTATCATCAATCAAATATATATCACTAGCTTTCGCCAGCGTGACTTGCACCTTGGCACCATCCCCTTCTATACCATCATGTGCTAAAGTTGTAGTAGCAGCAGCATCGTTACCCACAACAGTCGGCACTGACTTCACAACCTCTACATCACTCCCCCCATCACCCTTCAACCCAATTAGAAACGCACTACTCCTCATATCCCTCAACAGCGCCGCATTCTGTGACAAGCTACTGAAATTCGTAGCCATACGTCTCAGCAGTCCCAGATACTTTTCTGTTCCCGAAGCATCTAAGAACTGGCGTGGCGATTTAACTAGCTGTTGAGCCAATTCAGCTGGTGTTGGTTCGTCTTTGACTCCAGCAGCACGCAAGAAGGTGTTTGCGACATGTCCGAAATCGACAAAGGTGAAGAAATCGGCATATTCATTCTTGGAGCCAGTGTTGAAGTATACGTCGCCTGGAGTCATGCATTTATATGTTGGTGGGGATGTGGTTGTGATGGGCACGGGTATGAATTTACTATCACGAATCAACGTCCAATCACGGACTGTGAAATCGTGTTGTCGAGATGCTAGATACGTAAACATGGCGACAGCAGATTGTGGAGGCGGTGGTCGTTCTCGTAAGCGAGCTACTAGTTGATCTGACGGTGGATGTGGCCTACATCCAAATTTATCGGCATGTGGTTTTAGGTCTGGTTTCAAGACTAGGAAACCCATAACTAGACCACCTGGTTCGCTAAAACAGTCAGCTGGCTTGGCGTATGTGCTAGCGTCTACGGTTGGCAGGAATGGGATTTGGACTGTTTCGGGACGATATATACTGGCATATGTGGTCTTGTGATTATCAATAAAGTATTCAAGGAGCAAGGCTCGTTTCGAAGGTTCAGTTGCTGTAGCCATCATTGCAAACAGGTCTGATAACGGGACTACTGTTTTGAGACCTAGTGTCATCATCAGCTTGGCTAAAATGAAAGCGTTATCCACATGAATACATTGCTCTTTTTTTGTCTTGAACAACATACCTTCATCAGACTGACTCCTCCACTTGTCCCACTTCAATATACTCACTCCCAGCTTACGCAGCTTGTCATCAGGTGCATACAACTCACTAGCCCTATACCGTTTAATACCAGCCTCAGTCTCTGCTTCCCTCGGAAACAGGGCTGTAGCTCTCAGCCTGTCAAACTCGAGATTCGACAATTTAGCCTGTATGGTAGCCAAATATTTCACCAGCTGATGATGATCCCATCCCAACTCAGTACCCAGCCGATCAAATATAGTCTGTAATTCTACATGCTCTCGTACCCCGAATGCCTTGAGCATGACTTCCGAAACACTTTTCGGGTTTGCGAATGCGACTGATGGCAAGTCGGCAAACAGAGTCACGTTCTTGAAGTATGCTTGTTCGGGTAGTTTCATGCCACTACGAGTTGGGATACACTTCATTATGCAGAATATGCTTATGATCAAGACCTTGTTGTCTTGCGAGATGTTGCCCCAAGCACGAGAGACCACACCTAATATCCTCTCGGTAAATGGAGCACTCATTTCCAGATCTTCCGTCTTTTCCCGTGCGAGGAAATTACACCACTCTACAAGCGTCAGCTCCATCCATCCAAATACTTGCTCTAATTCGTTTTTCGTAAAGCTTTTGGCAATATCGGATGGTAGAGAGTTGGAAGGTGCTGGACAATCTGGTGGTATTATTTTTACATTCATGTGACTTTTAATGTGAGCCAGCGTCATCTTTGTAGTTACTCCCGGTATAGAAGTAGGCGGTATGACGGCTAGTTGAAGGAATCGGGATACTATACTGTCGGGAATAAACGTCTTGCCTCGTAGTGCAACCCACCACTTCATGAGAGCAATAAACTCATCCGAAGTGAGAGTCCTTTGACCTAATTCCTCCAACACGTCCTCTACAGTCGTCGTCCGTACTACACCATCCTTTTCAAGATTCTTTATCATCTCTGCACATTGTTTGGCGACTAGCTCAGGCACGAATGGAATGTTTTTGATAAAGGCTGACATGGAAGGATCTAATATCCTGACTTTGTTTGCTGGCATGACACCACGAGATGACATGATGGTCAATTGTTCTGAAGACTGTTTGAGAAAGTAGCTGCCCAAGATTTTAGCTACTACGGAATGGGGAGTTGATGCCTTAAAGTTGAAGGACATCATAGCGTGTGCTCCCTTCTTTTCCATCCATTCCTTTGCGGCAGGGTCTGATTGTACTTCTGGGTACAGTTCTATTCGAATATGACTCAGTATTGAATTATACGGGAACGCAACACAAGCTTCCTGAACTATGACTACATACTTTGAATGGAAGTCATCTCATCCTCATAGAGTATTCTGGCCACAAGAGCTCCAACAACCAATATTTCCTACAGGGGGTTGGAATTAAATTGATTCCAATAGGATTCGGAATTTATGTCCTTCTGGCGTTTTTTGCTTCCGAACTCACTTGATTCCATATCGTAAGAGTCCGATCAACGAAATCTATACTCTCACGTTCCACGGTTGGAATCAAATGAGCAGCCAGATGCATAGAGCACCCAGTAGTCTGATGAGTAGGAAACCTAAATTTGAAAACAGCACAGAGCCATTGAGTATTTGCAATGTCATCAAGTCAACAATTTCTTTTTCGCTTGGTTTCACATACCCTATAAATATCCTTCCTTGCTCTCCAGGTGCAGGCAACAGATCTGAAAACACAGAATTCTGTCCTCGCACACCAGACGACGAATCATACTCGTCGAATGTAGACCACATGATTTGTAGACTGGTCTTGGTGGGTGGCTTCTTCTTTGTTGTTCTCTCCATCTCTTGAGCAAACTTGGTAGCGAGTCGTACTCCAAAACCAGCAGTAGCGACTCTCATGAATATAGAGAATGAGGTCTTGGTTCCTTGTCGTCCCTTGGAACGATCAAAGGACAACATGGCATCTACATCTAGCTGTATCTGCGACACATTTACTTGATCTAGAGTCAGCATCGAGTTTGGCGATACGGTTTGATATAGATTTTTGGGGAATGTGAGTGGTCGTGCCTCGGCAGTCTTTTTATGGAGAGAGAAGACCGTCTCTGTATCTACAATGACGGAGACGTTACGCAGGTTTGCGGTGAAGGGAACGGACGTTGCGAGGAATCTGCCGAAATCTGCGATATTTGGAATGTCGAGTGGTTCTCGGAGTTCCAAGAAGAAGGTGGTGAGATCTGATGCTGTTGGTGCTGGACCACGTTTTGTATACAGACTGTCCCCCTGTCAAACCAAAAACGTAAAGATCAGCATCTTTTGAGTGGGTGACGTGGCTTGTTGCTATCACTCTACCTTCCAAAAGAAGGCCATGCAGCCAGTACCAGACGTGACTAGAGGCTCCTCGCATACACTAGGTCAGAGTAAAGTCAGCCAGATTTGATATCCCATTTGACATATTTGATTAATATACCTGAAGAGAGAGTAGAATCCAACTCCAAAGAATCCAATCTTGTCCTGATCTGGATTTCCTTCAGCAATCTTTCTGAGCCGATACTAGAAGATTCAAACAGTTAACCAGGAGCAGCAATATCAGATACACATGCACTACCCTACCCAATCTTCATCTCTGAATGGCCGTCCATTGTTGGAGTAAGTAATAGTAGAAGCAGCGTTCGCTTTTCCACCCTTTGTTTGGAATGTAATAGTGACTTCTGTAGCATTTGCATCGTTGCTGTTCTGAAGAAGCTCTCTCTACGAGTGACTTGGTGTCAGTGTTGAAGGACACGATCAAAGGCCAAGTGTTTGCGAGCTTACAAAGAATGTGTATTCGGTCGAATATCGAGCAAGAATCTTGTCGATGAGGGCCCGTTGGTTGATTTCGACAGCTTCCGATTCGACATTAGATGTCTTTAGCTGCGACCGTAATGACAGAAAGTCGGACGCCATGCTGTCAGATTGGACTAAGTGATTTGGGTGAGAAGTGAGTCAGTAGATAAACGGAAGGACTGGAATCCGATTCAGTAGAGCATCAAATCAAAGCTTATGAGCTGTCAATTCAACCAAACAGGGCAACTATCTCACAATCGTCACAACTCGAACGCACCTTATGTGGCAAAGCTATTAGAATCGGACGAGGACACAACTAAAGTATGGCTCTATATGTCACTGCTGCCAACCAGTCTAATGGCTTCTAATCCTCTGTTTGTCTATATCTATATAATAGCTAAAAGCTACGGTAGTGTGTTTTTACAAAATCTCGAAGCTTGAGGACGACGTTGTCAATCACGGCACGCTAGAGGTACACCGTCATGTATATCAAAACATCGTGTTTCACTTGTTATTCCTTCGGTTACATATCCCTTACATATACACTTCACGTCAAATCAACAGGACATTAAAACATCTTGCCAACATTCAACATCAACGCACATTGCAAGTTTGCTCGACATTGGTGACGAATCGCCAGTTATAGTATCAACGCAATGGACAAAAAGTCATCGTATCTGGCAAACCTGCTCAAGATTTATCAGGCTGGCAACCTGTCTGATGAACAAAAGCAGAGTCTGTGGTTGAGACTCATTCAGCAGGCTGCAAATGAAGGCATTACCATCTCCGGGCAAGAACTGAATGCTCTTGTAGGCAAGTATCTAGGGTAGATTGTTTGGGATGCAGTGCCATCAAGGCATACTTGAAGAACGAGTTGCTTTTTTGCTTCGACACGTGAGTAAGGTCGCATCGTTTGCTTTGTATCTAACATTTCCCTATCTCCCGCTTAGCTCAACATCAACAATTAGCTGCTCACCAACAACAACAAATCCAGCACCAACAACAAATCCAACAACAACAACAAATGCAACAACAATCCCAACAACAAGAACAAGCACCCACCCGCATCGTAAAAACCGAACCCGTCCAGCAACAGTATCCCCAACAATATCAACTCCAACTCCAGCAACAGCAATATCAACAGCAGGTACAGATGCAAGTCCAAATGCATATGCAAAGAGAACAACAACAGCAGCAGCAACAACGAGAACAGCAACAGCAGATGCAACCACCCATCTCGAAATCATTACAACCCTTTATTCCACAACCTCATCCAAATCGAGTGCCTGAAGTCCCTGCTGATCCTACTCAACTCGTCTCGAAACAAAAGATCCAGTACTTGCTGTCTCAAATTGATGCTGATATGAAGATTGATGACCCTACTTGCGAGGTATATGGTTATTGTGGTTGATGAGGACTGAGATCAGCTGCACATCAAAACCTCTAACCGAACAGTTGTTTTTGGCAAATAGATGCTCATTGAAGTAGCTCACGAGTTTGTACAAGAAATCACAGAGCTCTCATCTAGATTAGCTCATCATCGAGAATCAGATACACTCGAAGTGAAGGATGCGGCCAAAATTGCTGGTATGAAAAAATTCTCGACACAGCAAGGTGTACTTGTGTTTCTCCTCACTCACACTTCTCTCATAGAACGGTTCTATGATATTCGAATCCCTGGATTCAACGATGATCCAGAAGCTTTGAACGCTGCTGCTCCATCTGTATTCGATCAAAAGGGTAGAGGAGTAGGAGCAGGAGGAGGGAAGCTTGTTGCTGCAAAGACTGGGAAGAAGGCTTCGAAAAGGGGTGGTGAAAAGGCATGAGCGGGAGAAAAACGTTTGTAGGGGGCGGATAGTAAAGAGTTGGCAGTTCAGTTTGTACATACAAGAACCTTTTTCCAACACAGATATAAACTTTGCATTGCGTATGGATTAGTGGTTCGTTGTGGTGTCGGTAGCTCTTCGTAAGTGAACAAACAAAAAGCAAATTGTGCTGCACAACGAATGCTCCTCTTGCGAAGCATTCCACTCACAATTGTATGAGATTCTGAAGGGCTGTAAACGGAGTGTGTGCAACTCTGTGTCTGCTTTTTTTTGCTTCAACAGTTTTAGAAATCACACTTGGCAAAGATTTCACAACAGCAGCTTCAGCGATTTTTCTGTGGCCTTTGACGATATCTGTGGCTTCTCCATTGTGGTTATACCGTGTCACTATATAGGTGTGTAGAGAGTGAGAAAAGAAGAAAATCGTAGAGACTTTTGGATGATACTGTCGACCACATCCGAACACCAAGCCTCAGCACCAACACTACCATCGAAGACATGACTTACAATGTCTTGGGCATGCAAACGAATCCTCAGTGTCTTGAAATGCATTTGCATATGCACATTGATAACAACGACAAAGCAAAGCAACACCTTGAACCTCCCATCGTGACTATATCTTGAGCTTAACCACGTTTTCATTCATTAAGTATATAAACTTGTTGTTCATTATGTAACAAAAACAGCTGCGACACCACTGAAGGAATACCGGCAACGACAGTTTTAAAAGTACGCATGGTATCCATTGTATCCATAGCCATAGTACTTGCGTCCCTTGTCGGTGTTGTAGTACTTGTTGCTACAAGAGGAGAGTTAAAGGAGTAAGCATCTTGACCACCACAATCAACAACAACAGCAAGACAATGACTTGTACTTTGCATCCAAGTAGCGATCCTTGAGTTTCATATATCCAGAGAATGGCGCACCCTGCAAGCATTAAGAAAGGAAGGAGTTAGTCCAAGCTATTGACTTTCCCTGCTGGATTTTTTTAGTTCAATCACATCAACAAACCCAGATCCGTAAATACTCTTGAAGGTAGATTCTTCATGCACGTTATCCTTTGCTAATGATTTGTGCTGTTGAGCATACCCTATTCAATCCAAAATAGAGTCGAAGATCAGGACAAGACCAAATAGAAGGGATAAACGGAGATCCAACATGACAGACCTTTATCGTTGAATGCCTTCCCATAACCATCATCAGCCATCTTGACTCCATCATCTTGCTTTTGTCGCATAGGACCACCATGAGAGCCAGTTGTGGAGGATGCGACGAGGGTTGTGATGGCGAGGATCAAGGAGATGTAGAGAGTCCAGTTCATTGCTCGTTGGGATGGCGAGATTGGTGGGATTGGGTTGGAGTGCGGTGTTTGTTGGAGATGATGTTGTGAGGGCAGAATTGTGTGTAGTAGGGATTTAAGTAGTTTCCCATGTCAAAGTGTGGGAAGAGAGAGAGAGACCGTGAGAAGGCCTGGGCACCATTATTCATCACGGTAGTAAGCTTCACACTATTAAGTCTTGGATGTTGAGTGTTCAGAGTTCAAAGCTCGGTGAGGATAGCCCGAAAACAAATCAAGGGGATGCTCCACAGAAGGACAATTGCATGTCGAATGAATCTATATAATGTAACTTACAAAACAGTGATTTTATGCAAATTTTTGCCCAAGTGAGAAAGATGAGTATTGGGTTCCTGAATTCTTTGTTCAATCAGATGCTGCACCTACACCACCACCACCATTAGGTGTCTCTTGATCATCACCTTCAATATCCTCAGGCCATTCCAAATCAACATCAATCACATCCAAAGAGGCAACACGAGCCCATTCCAGTTTTAAGAGTTCATACATGTTTGGTGTGGTTCGTCCATTATCACCGTGAACGAATTCTTTGACGTATGTTCCTAAATGATGTTGTTAATACATGGCAGTTAAAGACCTCTGTCATGGCAAAACGAGGGAAGCGGATTGAATTAACAGTAGTACACACCTGCTGATGTCTTCATATCCACGCTGATACAAGGATTCTTGATACCTTCAGGTGATGTTGCAGCAGTGGCGATCATGAAGTGAATGAGTTTGTCCCGGACCAAGTCAGCACGCCTAATCGAGAGAAAGAAGAGGTGATCAATTGAAACTGTCTTCCATGGTTTTAACTTATGACTGGTACTCTTCACAATGAACATACCTCGGAACTCTGGTAGGATTTGCTTGCTTGACTTCCAAGTCCTTTGTAGAGTTCAATAATTCGATTTGAGGTTGCGTTATGGGAGATGGGAGTTCGACTACAACTCTATTCAACAAAAAATATTATGAATTTAGAATTCATGATCTGCACGTTCACTTCTCTGTCAAGAATACTTGATATCTTTACCTATATGTTTTACATTTCGTAGCTGCCGAGTCCTTCAAAACTGAGGTGCTCTCCCTTAGTTCAGAAATGCGTCAGACCCAAAACGAGAAGCAAAAAGTCACCATGTTGATCGTGCACCGTGCGAGCACAAAGCAAGCCTCATAAAACATACTTGGACACCAACTGCAGGTTTGTAAACCTCACTTTATCCTTGGCAGGTGCATTCACCTTGTCTTGAAAAGCCTTCATCTCATCAGCAGGCATAGTCAAGACGCGAGGATGAATCAACTCCAAATAGAATGGTCTTCCCTTGCCCAGCATTCGCACATCTACGTCTTCTCGACCCGCTGATGCGAACTTGTTGTCTAGTAGAAAAACGACGAGAATGTTTTGTAAGAGAAGCCCACCAAAAAAAAAAAAAACATCCCTAACATCAAAGGATTACCTTGAGCACGAAACAAAGCCATAGCCTGCATATCCAGGAAATCAGATACTGATTCCTTAGCCATACGAACACCCTTGACTTCCCATGGAGTATGACTGATTCCACGCTCGTACTTGTTGTATCTGCCGGCCAGGTAGATGGAGCCGTGTGTTAGGTCGATTCGGCAGATTGGAGGTGCTGTGACTGCTTTAGGTGGAATGTGGGTTGCACTAGATGATGAAAGGAGGTGTGAGAATCAGCAAAACAAGGAGCTTATGACCTCACCATGACGCACTCTACTAGGTCTTGATACTCCAGAGCACTCAAAGCCATATTCAACTTCTCCAGAGACAATCCTTGACTGTGTCTGATTCCATTCTACATGATGATAGTGTGAGACAATAGAGCAAATTGATGGAAGCTGTTATCGTTTTTGTACCTTTCGCCGAGACACTTTAAAGCTCACAAGACCAGTATCTTTAATGAAGAAGTGATCTTCCTGAGTAGCAGCATGCTCGAATTCATATGAGATCGTGAAGGGGCTCTAAAGAGAATGACATATATGTTACTGTTCTGTCCTCCTTTTTCGTTTGTTTTTTGAAAGGACCTACATTTGGAAGAGATTGCAGGCCAGTAGATTTAGCAATCTTTGGCTGTAACAGCAGCTTGACGAGGTCTTTGACTTCGCCATGTGGTTGTACAGTGCCACTAAAACAGATTGAGTGTGAGCAAAAAACAGGTAAGACTGTAACCCATTACGACCAGATCCAAACACCACACGGTACCATCAATACTTCACCACCATCATCAGCATATGAACTTACAATCTGTTCTTCAACATGAGAACAATAGCTCGCTGTCTCAGATGCACCTGCATAGGCACCTTGACAGCAACGACAAACGACTCGAGTCCCTTAAACCCATCCTGTTCTATCTTGAGCTTTGTCCTGTCAGCTAGCTCCTGGAAGTCCTGCTCCAGAATGCCCAAACAGGCGACACACTTGTTGTTGACACTCGTGCTTGAATTATCGATTTGAGCAGCATCGAATGTGAATTGGCTGAACTTGTGGTAGATCGTGCGGTCTTCCATGTTGAGGAATCTATTGCAGTGGTTGAATACGTTAATAAATTGAAAATAGAAGACTGGTCCATGCATGTATTTTCTTTGAACGTACCTTAAGACACATGCTGGACAGATATTCTTGACCTCATCCAACAAGTAGGTCGTTCGTGCTGAAGGATTAAAGTTTGGAAGGATCTGCCGGATGGCTTCTACAAACTGAGTTAAGCGAGAAGTCATCGTCGTCGACTTGTTTTTTCGGAATGTTTGGAATGTTGAAGCTCAGTGATGGTCGAGTGGAGTTGCAAGAAAGAGTGAATTATTGAATTTTATGGTGAATCTCAGAGTTTTTTCCTGCCGAAACGCGTAGATCTTGACTAGCCTCATTCATTTCTCTAGAGACATTTTTGTTGACGCGACAAGAAGCCTATTGATGACATTTCGCCTCTCAAACGCATGAATAGACTCAACTTCCCTTCATGTATTGGACAATTCGGCTTTGGGACAAGTACTTGTTGCTTAAGAAAAGGAGAATCGAGCTCTGGCAAAAAAAAGGTGTTGATAACTCACATCTCAAGTATTCTTCAGAGGGAGGACCAGCGAGAATTACATTACGTAACTCATATGTTACACCACTCCAAAATGGATCTCCTCGATTATCACGTACAATCTCAAACGGTGCTGCGTATCGTTGAGGTGATTCTGGCCCAGGTCCCTTTTCGGTAAAAGTGACAAATGGAGCAGCTGAGAGTTGCAATACCATGACATAAGCATCATCTACAAGCATTCAAAGCAGCTTTGACGAGGAACATTTCATTCTAAACTTGTCTCGTCCAAGGAAATACTCGATGGTGACGCATCGTTCATCACCGTGCAAATGGAATGCTATAGAAATATCACGAGGTTGTACTATATCATCACGCACGGCATGACGATACCTATTACCAGCCGTTCTACTCCTATTATTATTACGCCTTCTGAACACAATCCCGTTTCGTTTTTGCGTCAAATAGCCAATTTCAAGTTTTTCGACCCTGTATGATACATAGGATGCAAGATGTTGACCAGTATCATTCCAATATGCTTTGGCCCTCCATACGTCATTACGAAATGATTTTGGGAATAATATTTGTATGGTTCGTGGTAGTCAGGGTTGAGCAGGTTGTGG